GAGTGGGTCATGGAATAGTCTTAGGGGGAAACATTTGAATAAATTCAGCTCAGACTGGAGATCTGACAGTGGTGATACACTGGGATGGAGGGTTTTGGTCTAATAACCAAGAGGAGAGGCTGTGCTGCAGCCACCTCATTGTAGCCTTCAAGTCACTTGGAAGGGAGTGTGAGCACCTCGAGGGAGCTGGGAGCACCTGGGTGGGAACCAGGACAGGAACCTATGGCGTGCTGGGGGAATATTCCTGCTGTAAACAGGGCTCCAGGGGAGGAGCCAGGGCTGTTTCCAAATGAAACATCATTAAAGAGGAAGGGGAGGGAAAACTTGATTGGAGTCATGAAAAATGTGGAGTTTCAAATCCAGACCTCTTGCAGCTCAGTAGGTATTGAAACTCCCCAAAGTTGGATTTAGTTACATGAAGGATCAGACTGGATGCAGGTTTTGTGGTGTATATAGAACAGCTCATGGAATATTAATGTTAGTGAGGATGTCTAAGCATTAGGGTAAATTACTAGAGCTGCAAGCTGAGACTCCTTGTTTTACTCCCAAGGGAAAAGCTCTCTGTGCAGCCAGCTTCCCTACTTATAACACTGCATACTGCTCAACTTGGCTCTTTAAAAAACTGTGCACTGTGTGAAATATTTCAGAAGCAGTTGTCTTTGCTTTGTAGGGCTTTTTAGGGAGTAGTTAGCCCAGATCTCTTGGATCCAGCCTCTGGAGATTTGGAATTACCATTGGTTCCAGAAGGGAAACTGGCATCTCACTCCAGATGTGACTTGTGACTAGTAGTCACAAAAATCACTCATTTTTGTGTCTTCTTGTGTAAGAATCTACAGCTATTTAATTTGTCACTTTAGATTTTTTCGTACAGAAATTATTCTGAAGGCTTGCAAAATTATACTTGGTTCTGTCTTTGGGAAGTTCTGGGGAAAATGATTACTTCTTGTTGTGTCTGAAAAGTAGTGCTTTTTAGCACTAAAAAGAACAGATTGAAAAAAAGTTTGTGTTCCTGCCTTGTTTGAACTATTTTCAATACTTTCATTTCATTCACTGTTTGGAGTTGACTCTCACTGGGACTTCCAGCATGTTCAGAGGTCACTTCTAAGCATGCAGTGACTTTTTATTCCATGTTCTGTCAGCCAGCAGGGGTAACTCACCTCAGCAGTGCTTTCATCTGTATGTTCATCACAGGGGTTTTCAGGGAAGAGCTTTTGGGCCTTCTTGCAATGGAGTGGAATGCAAGCATCTTCCAAGGTAGAATAAAATACAATAATTCCACAAGTAGTGTATTCATCCCCTTTGCAAGGGGGCTGGTAAGAAATGTTCAGCTAATTGTAACTCAGTTAAAGCTCTTATTTATTAACATATTTTGATGAAAGATGTCTTAAGCTTCACAGCACTCAAACTGTTATCCTGGGCTCTTCCTCCACGTGCCTGCCTATGGGATTTGAGGAAGCGCTGAGTTTCATCTCCTTGCCAGGTGTTTTAGGAGCTGGAGAAATTTTTGTGACAACTTGTGAATGGGCTGGAATGTGAAAAGGGGAATTTTTGTTCTTCTTAACTGTGAGGTTGGTGCTCAGACTGGATTGGGGAGGTCTAAATCATGCACATGTGTTTTGTGGTGTGGAACTCAGGTGCATCACACCCGACTCAGTCATCATCAAAGGAAAGAGAAAGTGCAGCTGAGTCTCTTCCTTGCCAAGCCACTCTACTTCCCTTTTGTTCAGCAGCTCTTCCTGTGAAAGTTTTCTACTTTAAAATAATCCATGGTTTTCCTAGGTGTGCATCACGCCTCCAGCTGACCTCATTTCTGTTTCTTGGCATGATTGTTCATGGAGTCCATGAAGTGTCCATTGGAGTGTCATTCTGGATGGATTTGCTGTCCTTCCTCATTTGAATATAATTTCCTGGATATCATTCCTGACACTTGAGAAAAAAAAACCTTAATCACTTAATTGCCCTTAGAAGGGCAGAAGTTGTATTTTATATAAATGTAAGTGGAAAATATCTGAAGAAGCCTTATAGAAGTTTGAAAAAAAATCCAAACACTGCATTTTAAAACCATGGAAAATGCTTGTGAAGATGATGTAAGATCCTTCCATCAGGTTTATCTAATTTCCTGTTTGTTGTAATGAGCTTTACTGCAGGACCACAGGCTGAAGAGTGTCAACAAGAATATTAGCACCTTTTTGCTGTTTAGACAACCTTTTCTGTGTGTCTGTGCTTTTGTTTTCCTCCAAAGCACACAGAAGTGTGTTGTGGTGGTTCTAGCACAGCCTTGTTCCAGTATTTCTGCTGGTTTGGAATCCAAAAGCTGGCTGATACGGGATAAGGCTGCAGATCAGGGATTCAGGTTATGCAGGGATACTGTGTTCTTAGAACATTTGAACTATGAACAAGTACCTTAATCATATTTTTAAGTTTCCAAAATCCAAATTATAATCTTCCCTTCTGTCCCCTGCATATAAATGCCATTTTTCTTCTTTTTTATCCTGATGATATTAGCGTAAAGGAGGAATGCATTACATCTTTGCTGAAATTGTCTAGGCTAGAGCTTGGGAACAACAAACCAGTCCAGGATGTTCCCCTGGACAATAGAAGGATGTGGATCTTTATCTTTGATGCTTGACAGTACTTTATTAATAAAGTTTTATATTTAGTGACTATATGGATTCTCTTCACTTGAAACGTTTTGTAATTTTATAGTTTGTCATGGAAGTACCTAATTTTCAATATTACTTGGTGTCAGTTCTGTCTTTTAAAGACAGAAATAGAAAATATTACAATATGCATGTCTACCTCTGTGGAACACCTGATCTGAACCTCAAACTTATTTTAAAGATGTAGAAAAGGATATTATTAGTATTTCAGGAACTTATTGTATGAAAAATGGGAACTTAAATTTTGATCTTCACTAATTATAAAGTTTAGGTAAGGCTTTCTATTTTAAGCATGTTAGACTTTAGATTGTAGTCAATGTGTTTAATTTTTGCTCTTTAAGAGAAGCAGAACTGTAACATTTGTTCCACGTGTGGGGCGTTAATGGGAAAGAAAATAGCAATTACTTTCCTTGGAAGAGAAAAGCCTTCAGAATTTCATGTGCTTTTGAATTTTTTAAAAATCTTTTTGGAGAAAGAAGTCTTTTTAGGACATGATATTGAGGTGTTGGAGCGTGTCCAGGGAAGGGAACGGAGCTGAGGAAGGGGCTGGAACACCAGGATCAGCTGGGGGGGGCTCAGCCTGGAGAAAAGGAGGCTCAGGGAAGATCTTCTGGCTCTGCACAACTCCCTGACAGGAGGGGACAGCTGGGGGGAGTCGGGCTCTGCTTCCAGGGAGCAGGGACAGGAGGAGAGGGAACAGCCTCAAGCTGTGCCAGGAAGGTTCGGGATGGAGATTGGGAAAATCCCTCCTGGAAGAAGCTTGCCCAGCCCAGGCACAGCTGCCCAGGGCATTGGTGGTGGAGTCCCCATCTCTGCAGGGACTTCAAAGTTGTGTGGATGTCCCATCTGAGGACATGGGGCAGTGGTGGCCTTGGCAGTGCTGTCGGGCTCTGCTTCCAGGGAACAGGGACAGGAGGAGAGGGAACAGCCTCAAGCTGTGCCAGGAAGGTTCGGGATGGAGATTGGGAAAATCCCTCCTGGAAGAAGCTTGCCCAGCCCAGGCACAGCTGCCCAGGGCATTGGTGGTGGAGTCCCCATCTCTGCAGGGACTTCAAAGTTGTGTGGATGTCCCATCTGAGGACATGGGGCAGTGGTGGCCTTGGCAGTGCTGGGTTAATGGTTGGACTTGATGATCTGAGAGGACTTTTCCAACTTTAATGATTCTGTGATTCTGTGACTGAACATTTCTGCGTACAAGCAGCAGGTTATTTGTTGAAGGCCTTGATAATGAGAGAAGGCCATTGGTGTGGTCTGTACAGGGAAGACACAGAGCAGGTTTTCAGGACTTTCTGGTGAAAATGGAAGGAAATACTCTTGCATTTCTGAATTTCTAAATTGGCCTCTAGGTTATTGAAAGCTATTTTTAAAAAGGTTATTGCTACTGACATGTTTTAATTAGTAATTAGATCAATATTTACCAACACATAGAGCAGAGGGGAGTCAGCCAGGGTTAGAACAGTAGATGAGATTGTGCTTTCCACATAGGAGCTCAATATTCTCGTCTTTTCCACGATGAATTTTAGCCAGGATCTCTCAATATGTTTGTACATGACCACAGAAGCTTTTGTTTCCTGTCATTACCTGCTCTAGACAGCAGAGGAAAAAAAAAAAAAAGAAGTAATAGTAGTGCAAAGTTACCTGATTCCACAGGACTGAGGGAGTGCAATTTTTCATTAGTGATGATTTCACATACCACTGATTATGTATTTTGCTTCTTGATCCTGTAGAAAGAATCCAGATTGATTGGGACCCAAATGACACCATTGGCAAGATGGGCTTTAGGCTTGAAGTGATTGTGTGTAGCTCCAATACAGCTACCTTTCTGCACATACAACTTTACTGGGCTTTCTTTGCTTATGTGATCATTTCTTAGTATTCCAAACTCAGATTACCCTCAGCCCACCCCATGCTTGTGCTTGGTGATGGAGTTACTTTGCAGTTGTGACCCAGAAGAAATCACTGCCAAAGATAACCATCCCCACAATGGTAATCAGGTGTTAAGGTTCCCTTTCCCATCAGCCTCAAACTGCAAACTCATTTCCTCTAACTGAGATTTGGGATCTCCCTGTTTCCGTGAGAGGCCCATCCTGGATGTCAGTACTGTGACAGTACCTTTTTAAGAAAGGGCAGCGGGTTTTTTTCCTACACCAAGTTAAAGTTATGTAGGAACACACAGTGTGAAAAGGTTGTGAATGAAGTGTTACTCTACTCTCTTGCTCAGTCTTCATCTTTCTTTTAAGGTTTTCATCATGTTTACATAGCAGAATTCAGATTATTTTCTTTTAGACTTAAATTTTCTCTTCCGTATGAATTTTCCTCTAAAAATACTTGTGTTTGCAGGTTGCTGTATTTACTCCAGCAAGAGACCTCAAGCACGGAGCTGAGAACAGAATGTGCAGTGGTCCTGGGCAGCCTTGCCATGGGGACAGAGAACAATGTCAAATCCCTCCTAGACTGCCATATTATCCCAGCCTTATTGCAAGGTACCCCTCCCTTGATGGATCTGTGTTAGTAAATGTTCCTAAAGTACTGAAATAAGCAAAGATAATGAGACTGAATGGTTGATGTGCCCATATTTATAGGATTGCTCTCGCCAGATTTGAAGTTTATTGAAGCTTGCCTGCGATGTCTCCGTACCATTTTCATCAGCCCTGTAACTCCAGAGGATCTGCTGTACACAGTAAGTTGTAAGCAGATTATTATGTCTTTTTAAAGGCTGTAAAGAGGGTGGGAGTGAAAAATCTTGTTGTCTGGAGTAGTAATAAGGCCTTGTTTGAGCAACAGCATTAGCACTTCTCACCTGCCTTTAAGGCATTTGGCATCTCTGACATTTATGGCTGGTTTGATATCGGCTGGTCACCAGGGTAGCCCACTGATAAATAAAATACCTACATGTTCAGACTTGTGTGCAATCTTGAGGAGGAAAAACTGTCTCTAAATGGTATTTAGAGGTACTATTATCAGAGCTATACTGGCAACAGTTACTTTCTGAAAGTTTGTTTTATCCAGCACTGTCCTCCCTCTCCAATTGGGAGAGGGCTTGTTCAGTTTTTGTACTTCCAGTGGAAGAGCTTCACCTCTAAAATGTCTCTGCTCTTAGTTGCTGTATGTGTGATTTGCATTTAGGTGACAGGAGGATAGAAAATGTGCCTCTCCAGTTGCTGTAGTCCTGAGTTTGTCCTGGAGCATGTGCCAGCTGGGCTCTTGGTGCTGGCCCTGGTTGGGTGACTGGGCAGAGCCCTCTCTGAAAGTACTGCTGTCCCTGGGGTTTGCCCAAACCCAGGCACTGCTTCTTACTGGGAAGGAGGGCCAAGGAGAGTTCAGCAGCTTCCTTTGTCCCAGTGTAGGGTGAGCCATGGAATGAAAGCTGTAGTGGACCAGCAATCTCTTCCTGCTCGGAAAATGGGAGCATTGCCTCAGTCTGGGGGAGGTCACAGAGCAGCTCCAGCTTCTCGGGGTACCCGGGCACCCACAGTGGGAACCACTCTGGTCCCACTCATTGAGAGCTGTTGCTTGCTGAGGAAGTCTTGGTGCTTACAGAGAAGGGCACAGCTGGCCTTTCATGTTTTACTTTCTCTACAGTTTGGCTGTTAATTGTCAACAGATTTTTTTGTCTCGTTGTTATGCACTGCTGCAATGTCTCTTTTGTTCTCTATTCATTTTTCCAATGAAATTTTACATTTTCTTTCCAGACACAGGTAGGGAAACTTGTTATTTTCTATGGACTCAATCTCACCATACACCTAATTCTGAATTTCAGCTGCCAGTTAGTCCATCTCAGAAAGTCAGCTTGCATTTAGTGTGTACAGACAATCAGCCAGCTTTGTCCTCCACTGTTCACTGCCTTTTTTCCAGGTGTTTGGTGATTGTTCAGCATGGAAAAACTCAATGCATATTGTATGTGTGAACACCAAAGGCACCTCTCCAGAGTGATCCAAGGGCTTCCTCTGTGTCTTTCTGTGGCTTCACTCCATGCTCCCAGATTCCCCCACATTAGCCTCTAAGAGTTGATAAGTGCAGAGGCATCTGCTTCCTGCTCTCAGCATCCAGAAAGGGGTTTAAGATGACTGTCTCCATTAACAATCCATAGCTCTTCCTGGGGATCAGTGCTCAATAGGGACTTTTAATTGCTCCCTGTTTGGAGGAGGGGTTTGATGTCTTGAAGGGAGAGGAAGGGTTAGAGAAATGGACAGAAATGGGAAGGAACCAGCATTAGCACAGAAATAATCCCTACCATGGGAGCAATATGCCTGAGGACTGGATTTGGTGTTTCATGCTTTGCTTTCTCAGCTGCACAGCAATGACATCAACTGCTCCCCAAGTCCTTCTTCAAGCAAATGGGATGTCCTGGAATTAACCATAACTACAGGAAATGATCATTTGGTGAGAGGTCCTTGCTCCTTAGTTCACCTGTAAATCCCATTTTCCCATTTCCCATTCCAGTTAAACACCTCAAAATTGAGTATTTTATGATTATGCTTAAGGTCCTATTTCTGCAAATCCTGTTTTTTCCTTCTCTTGTGGGAATACCCAAAGCCATGCTTTGAAAAGAGCTGAATACAGATCCTTTGATAAGATGCTTTTCTTATCTCTTGGAAGGTACAGCCCCAGCCCACACTGCTGCAAGCTGTATTTCACAAGGCAGCAATTGAGACATTGGCTTTGCAATTAAAGGAGTAATTATGGGCGTAATGAACAGTTCATGGTAGACATTCCAACACTGAGAACAAGAGGAAGAATTCAAAGTTCCCATTTAGCCACCCTCCTCCCTCTTTTTTCTGGTCCCAGCAGCTCTGGGGAGACTGTCACCATCTCTATACAGCTGCAGCACTTGAAGGTCTCTTAAGTTCTGCCCTTTACAGGTCCTGTTTTGAAAAGTAGGAGACCAAGTTTGTCAATGGCTTTTCATTCCAGCCCAGCAGTTCTGGAAAAAACTTCTGGAAAGCTGGAGCTTGAGTTGTGTCTAACATGGAAACTTTCCCAGAATTTTTTCATGATTTGACTGCATGGTTTGCTCTCTCTCAAACCTTGGGCAGGACTGTTTCCAAGACAAAGTGTTGGGAGTTAGCTTAGCATCTCCAAGGGTGTTGCAGTCATTCTAGAGGTTTCAGAAGACCTCTCAGTTAAAATCCAGGATATACAAGTGCTTTAAAGAGTGCAGCTTAAAACATTCCTTTCTGTTTGTAACAGGTGCACATCACCCACAGTAATGGGAATACTTCTCCCAGCGGAAGTGCTGGGTCTCGGAACTACACCTTTCCTCTTGAGCCTTTCTTTATGGACAGAAGCCTGAAGGATCAGTTGCTGACAGTTTTGTGTAATTCATTATGTTCAGTTCCAAGGATAAAATAGTTCTTCAGAGATGGAAACATTTGGGCAGTTTCCTATAGAAACGTAGGGTTTGTACTGAAAAAATGTGCAGATCCATCCATCCGGGCAGCTTTTTAGGGTCTGATGCTGAGCTGTGACACCAAGTTATATCCAGACTTGCTGTGCCAGAGGAATCCTTGTTAATGGAGGCTTCCTGCACAGGCAGCGTGCAGGCCTTGGTGCTGAGACCCATTTAGTGACCATGCTGCACTTGGAAATGAGGAATGACATGGAGTTCAGGGGGAGAGATCTGTTGAGGTTCAGACATATGTTCAGACTTCTTTAAATTCCAAGATTGTTGTGCATGCAAACCAGCCAGTTCACCATAGCTGGGTGTGTTTTGGCTTGCTGAGTAGATGGAAGCACTAAGGCAAATCCAGTTTGACTGAGTTCCTGTTACTTCAACTCCTGATACCTTATTGATAACAGGAGAATGGCAGCAAATGTTTCCAGCCCATGAAAGCATTCTGCATATTTCCTGACAGCTGTTCTCAGTTGTCATTCTATTTTCCTCAGTGGGAGGATACAATTCCAGGCTCAGTGGGACCCAGATACAATTCCAGTGGGAGCTTGCTGTCTGTGGCTGCTGTGCTGGCCTTGCAGGAGGAGGTGCATTCCCTGCTGGGAGTGCTGTCCTTACAGGAGTTTGGAGGGTGAAGGCGCTGCAGCAGAATGAGACTCTGTCCTGTAGAGACAATGAGGAATCAGTTTGAGAAGTCTCAGTCTTTAGAAATGATGAGTGAAAGGCATTCCTGCTTCCTGGGCAGGTTTGGGATGAAAAACCTGGCGTCACCTGGTATTGGCCAGGCTTGGTAAAAGGGAGAGGCACACCTGAGAGGATCAGGATATCTTACACTGACTAATAACCAGGTGTTTAATGAGCAAAGAGCCAGCACTGCCAAGTGTGCACATGCTCCACCACAGCTCAGTGATCCACAGTTCCTAAGGGAGGAATCTGGGTCACCCTCTCTTGCCTTATTCCTTCTTTCCTTCTGGCTGTTTGTGGTGGCTCAACCAGGAGCAAGGCTGAATGTTCTCCAGTCCGAACTGCTTCCTAAAAATGAGAGTTGTAAAAGAACCAATTCTAGCTTATAGAGCTTGAATTCAAGTTATTTGGGTGGATAGAAGCATTTCAGTTCTCTGACTTGGGGAAAAGAATAGCAACCCTCAATGAAAAAGAAATGTTTTAATATAGGTCTTTACAAATTTTGTGTTAAAAAGGAATGTGAAAAAATTAGGTATTGGGATCCAAGCAGATAAATGTAACTGTTAAGTCTTTCTAAGTTCTCTTTGTCTGGACAATAATTTTGTTACAATATGTATGATACAGAGCTATTTGTCCTAAGTTGCCTGGAACTACTTTGTTAGCAGACAACATTTTAATGGGTTTGTGAATCTCATTGTTTTAACTGTAGTTTATGACTGTAGACTCAATCTCACTAGGGTTGCTAGGAAGATCATTTGTTACTGAGTAACAGTACTGAATAAAAGTGGAATTATGTAGCCTCACATTAACACCTATTCACTGTTCACACTTTGTTGGAAATCAGTTATGTCCACACATCCCATAGTTCTTTCTAGGTTTTTTTTGATGAACATGCCAAAATTCTTTTACAAGTTGGATATTATAGCAAAATTGTAGAGCAGAATTAACAGTTTTCTTAAAAACACATTAAGGAAGCCCTCCTGGAACTTTCCAAGAGTTTTTAACCTTTTCATACTCAACACTTCAGATTTGATGGAACATAATGAGAAGGTGTATAAAAAAGTCTATAAAGAATTGTTTCTTAAATGTATAGTCCACAATATCTAATAATACACATTTTTGTGTATTGGCAGAATTTCAGGGGACCATGACTGTGTTGTTTGCAAGGATTCATTAACTCTTATGTCATATGTGCAATGACATGGTTGGGGTCACAGTGGCACCACAAGTACCCTGCCACAATGTTTGGTGGCAGAACAGCCCCGTCTCATAAATGCTACATGAAAATGGTTTTCATCATCCAGTATGAAAACTTTCCCATCCAGTATGAAAACCTTCCCATCCAGGAATTCACCACTGGGTCATGGTACCACACTGGTCGGTAAAACAAAACACCATGTGCCATTTCATTCCCATTTCTGTAGCTCTGCTGTAGAGCTTCCCAATAATTTGAGGCTCAATTTCTGTCTATTTAGATCTTTACTAAAAACTTCCAATCTATAAACTGCAGCTGGAATACTCCTCTGATCAGTACTCCTGTGATCAATATTCCTGTGATCAATGCTGTTGGATTTTTAGGTGAAACTGGACAGTTGCACAAGGATGTCACTGATGAGGATGCAAAATAAATGTTTCTTGGTTCCTTCCTTGGTATTAGATACAGATGGAGAGAAGTTACACATTCATCTGTGAGGATTAAGAGTTTTAACTGAATAATTATTTTATCCAAAGATGTGCTGCTTTAATAGTTACAGTTTGTGTCCTTTGAAATAATTCAGGTTTCATAGTCAGGGATTTTCCTGCAGGAGATTTCAGGTCTTGCATCTTACAATTTGAAGCTCCTTTTTTAAAGCATTCCTGCCTGTGAATCCTGGTGTGTCTTTCTTCTCTTCTCCCTACCTCCTGGCTTCTTGATGGTTGTGTCTCAGGGGAACTTTGTAACTGAGCAGCCTCTTAGCACTGATTGTGATGTTGTGTTGAGCACTAATGGGGCTTGATGCCTTCAGCTGCTGAAGATTTGCAGAAAAGGACAAGAATCTGTTTTAATGGGTCAAATGCATTAAAACACAGAGGAATCCTGGGTATATTGTCAGCTGGTTTTGCTTTCACTCAGAGAAGTTGGGAACAGGCAGCCCAGAGAGGGTGAGGAGTCTCCTTCACTGGAGGTATTCCAGTCTGGAATGCTCTGCCCTGTGCTCTGTGCCCTGTGCTCTGGGATGGCCCTGCCGGAGCAGGGACCAGGTGACTGCTGGGCTCTTCCAGCCTGACCCATTCTGGGATTGAGTGTCCACTATTGCACTGCAAGCAAACTAGTCCCTTGCTGGTCTTTGGGTTCTGAAGTTTGGCTCTGGGCTGTGTGTAAAGGCAGATCAGATGGAGCTGCTATTGGCTAAACCCTGAAAATGTTGCTGGAAATAGGTAGTCCCTTGGTCTTCCTATGTACATAAGCATGAAATGACCATGGCTGGTGTACCTGGGAGAAAGTCTTTATAAATAACTTTCTCTCTGTAGGATGCTGAGATGCCAAATGAGGCTGTTGCATGTTGATCCTTTCCAGTTGGTGAGAAACAAGCAGCAGAAACAAGTCGAGTTTATGCTCCGTGTGTTTCTTGGCTCTCTTGGTCTGTTGTTTTCTGTAGAGAATAAGAGGGTTGGATTGTCAGCAGCAAAGCTTCCTAAAATAAGTATGATAATTGTGTATTTACATAAGTAAAAAATATTAAATAAATACTACAAGCTTTGTATAATCTCAAATATTTTTGCAAATAGGGGAGACTGGTACATGTTTATTTTGACAATATTAAAAAGTGTGGTGGGAAATTTCCCAGGTAATTGGGAAGCAAAACTTCTCATAACCAGGGTGTCTGTGTGAAGACACAGTTACTGAACAGTCAGGCTGGTGCTGCTTTCAGTGCTCTCACGGGAGCTAAGGTGCAGGAACGTTTTGCTCTAATTTCAATTCACCTCTCTCTAAATCAGAGGGTTGTAATTCATCATTGTGCAGGTAAAACAGAGTCTTAGATTTTTTGGGCCAATATAGCACATGTGCTTTGGAGCATTCAATCCTTCCCTTTGCTCAGCTCCCTTTATCTCATGGAAGTAATTTAGTTTACCCCTTTCCAAACTAAAATATCCATTGGTTTTTTTTAATATCACCATAGTTCCTGCCACTAAAATGTGCTGGTAAAAATAACTGAAAGCTTTTGAACATTATGGTTTTGTAACTCACCACAGAGATAAATAACTGGATGTGCTTGCAGAAGAGAAGTTGCCACAGAATCATGGGAAAGTTTGGCTTGCAAGTGACCTTAAAGATCATCTCATTCCAGCCCCCTGCCTTGGCTTAGGGAACCTCCCACTGAAGTGTAAGGGTTTTCTTTTGCTGATTTATTTGGGATTCTCTGTCACTGGTGTCACACACACTGGCAGTGTCTATAGTGTGTGTTTGACTGCAAGACAAAGGACATGATGACTGCCCATGAATCAGTTCCAGGGGACTGTGCCCTGTCCAGGATGGCACCATGTTCCCTCCCTGCTCCCTTGGACTCAGAGCTGGGAGAAGAGCTAAGTCAGCCACACTGCTGGGAAGACAACACTAAGGCAGCTCCTGGACTAATCCCTGTCAGTGGTCATGTTTGATTTTGGTGTGTTCCAACCCCCCCCTCATTCTTTTATTTGATTTTGTCCCAAATATTTTGGAGGCAAATTGCAGAAGTTTTGTTCCTGTTATTCCTATTTATTCCAATTGCACTAACCTTTTATTTCTTTTCCATGGGGATTTGACTCAGAACTGTCACTCGTGCCTTCAGCTTTTAATGAACTGCTTTTAATGGTCTTGCTCTGTATCCATAAAAGTTTTGCTGGAAGGAAGAATACTGAGTGCAGAATCAGGAGTGCTCCTTTAAGTAACAAACTGCAGAGAAGCTGTGCTGAAATCCAGTGTTAACACTCTCGTCTTTTCTCCCTTGTTTGCAGGATGCTACAGTTATCTCCCACCTCATGGCACTGCTCAGTAGGTCTCGATACACACAAGAATACATATGTCAGATCTTCTCCCACTGCTGCAAAGTAAGAAAGACAATTCATCTTCTCTATGCAACTTGTGTTTCTGGCCTGCAAGAACTGTGTGTGTGCTGCCTTTTGTGGCAGGAATTTTGAGCCAGTAATGACTGAACTGGTACTGCTCTGCATTTGCTGCAGATTTATTTGGGTTTATATATGCTGCTCTGCAGTACAAGAAAATAGGCAAATCTGGTGGGTTTATAGGCTTTGGCTGCTAAACAAAGCCAACTGGGCAAGCATCAGTCTTCACTTTTAGCACTATAAATCTTGGAACACTCTGAAAGTCTGAGGATAGTGTGAGCATCTCTTTGCAGAGGTTGTGTTAGCTGCCTTCACTTGTTTTAAATACAGGGACTGTTCTCTAAGAGGTGCTGTTGGTTGAGAGGAGAAGAAATGCTATTCTCAGCTGAGCTCTGTCAGTTACAGGTTCATCCAGATACATGTTCATTCCTGCTATGTAATGCAATTCTGTTGATAGGAGAAAACTGATTTAAAACCCCACCCCATAGTTTTGTCTTTCCCTCCCCCACTCCAAGTTTCCCCACAGCACTGATTTTTATTGTTGCAGTTTTTTGGGAGTTACTGTACCAGTGGGTTATACAATAACTGTATCAAAATAATTCAGGGCAGGAAATCAGCTTTTTACAGCATCTTTCCCTTTTAGTAACAGTCAAAATTAAAGAATCACAGATTGTGTACTAACAAATGAGAAAGTTCCTAAGTTTATGATTTTGTAAGTATTTTCCTTGAAAAATATCTTTCTGCCTTATCACTTAGAATGAGTCCCCTGGAACTGTGAATTATTCCTTTGTTAAGTATCTGTGTTCTTCTGCCTTGACTGTTATTTATGTACACTCCTCCCTTTGCATTTCTTCTGCTAAGTGAAGCTGAGGACTGAAAATTGTCCATTTTGTGAGATATAATAATAGAACTCAGCTGCTAATATTTAGGAAACTGTTTATAGAAACATGAAGACAAAATCCTACACTGGGCCATGGAGGTTCACATATATACCTAATAGTGGAAAAAAAATTTGGTATTTAAGGAAAAAAATTGGAGCAGTGAGGCACCTCCTGTCTAAGTGGCCCTTGAAAGTCTCCTTGACAGGCTGAGGAGCTTGAACAGGTGAAAAATCAGGCCATGTTGGCCTACAAGAAAAATAACCCAGGACTAATTACGGGATGGTGAAAGAGTCAGTTTATACAATCAGGGGTTGGCTCTGGGAATATAAACCCTGTTGGCTGGGAGAGAAGGGAAAACAGTTATTGTCATCTTTTTCCAAAGGAGTTATTTCCTTGTAGCTCCAGCAATTCCTGGTGGCTTGCATATCTGAAATGTTGTTTACTGTGCAAATGCACAGTCACTTCACAAATGAGGAAGGTCTTCTGAGCTCACCATTCCAATTTGAGTGCCTCTCCAACCCCAAATCTCTCTCAAATTTTAGAGTGAATGTCTGGAAAAAATCAGGGTTTTGGAAAGAAGTTGTTGGCTGTGTAAACAGAGAGAAATTAGGCTGCACAAGAAAGACAGGGTGATGGGTATGAGTGTGAGGAAATGGCTGCATTTGCAGAATAAACAGCTGCATAACAAAGAAAAATATTTGAGGTTGAGCAAACAGATCATCACAAATGTTAAATTGATCAAGAACTCATTCTCTTGCCCAAGCAAATGCAGCTGTTCAGCAAAAATCTGAAATGTCCCCTTCCTTCTCTTTTGTTTAGTTTTGGGGTTTCAGGTTTATAATGTCAATGATTGTATTTTCAGACAGAACAAAATGCATCTAATACGATGAAGACACATTTGCAGGGGATTTTCTCACTTTAATGAATAGGCAAAGTATGTTCTTATAATTAAAAAAAAATACTGAAAGTTTCTGTGTTCACTGCATTTTAAATGAAGACTTCATCTTCCTCCAAAAGGCCCTGAGTGAGAGAACCTTTCTTACTTTTTTTCCTGAAACAATAAGTTACTATAAATAAACCTTTGCATTTAGGTAAGGCTTAGCATATGTTCTAAGAGGCATTGATGCTTTTATTTCTCTTTTTCCTCATCTTAGTAGATGTATTAATTGAACTAATAGTGACTTATCACAGCTCCTGCCCTCCTTGTCCCTGCACTGTTCTCAGCTCACATCTGGTGTAGCCATTTCTTTCTCAGCCTTTCCAGCATTTTTGTTGGTTTCTCAGGCTTCTGCCTTGCCCTCTTCCATTTCCCTGGACAAGCTCAGTCTGGCTCTCTAGAGCTAGGAAATCCATCATTTGTGTTCCTAGCATGTTGCTGCTGGTTTCTGCTTTTGCTGCTCTCTTTTGCTGCTTCTCCCTGCACATTCAGGGTTAAAATTAATGTCAGGGGAGCATTGCCCTGCAGAAGAGCCATCCTGAGCAAGGGAAGTGTTGATTTATAGGGGAACAGATGCAGCTTTTAACATACAGAGCCAGGATTCTGTCAACATAGAAGCAAATAAGTAAACTGAAATCAGGCTGATGTACCTGGGATGTGAAAGTGCAAGTCCAAATTAACTTTTTGAGAGTCTTTCTATCTCCGTTCATTTGTTTTTAGAGCAAATGATGTGAAAAGGTAGAATTTACTGTTTTAGGAAGGGTCCAGGATAAAGCCTGTAATCAAAGCAGCTTTCTCCAGGCCTTCTTTTGTTGGGTGACCTTAGGCTGCTGCTGGATCCCTGCCCTAAGAGACAAAGGCACTTAGGTATCTGTTTGTCATTGTGGAATGAGTTGTTACATTGTGCTACCCTAATGTTTCCTTGAAAATTGCCATTTCATGATGGAAAATTGTGCAAGAAGTGATGTCTATTCCTGAAATATGTCAGTCATTCGTATTTGGAGAACAAGGTCCCTGTCAGAGGAGTGGAACTCTGTATCCAAGGTGGAACAAAACCAGACAGCCTTGCTGTTAAATAGTGGCCTGAACTGCTTGGAAATGCTTAATCATATTCTCAAGTTTTCACCTTTATATTTACAGCTGTCCCTCTTTGTGGATTAGTGCTTACCTGGTTGTGCTGGTTGGTGTGTGCAAACAAAGTGTATACACATGAAATATTTCCACTTGTGCAACTCACATACACCCAGGTGTCACCTCTGTACAGGCATCTGCCCTGCTTGCACAGAATCTGCCATCTGCATCCCATGGAGGAATCACTAATACTTGGGAATTACTAAATCTAGGACAATATGATTTCTTCTACTTTAAACTCACTCATTTTTTTCACATATTTCAATATCTGTTCTTCAGCTCCAACACTGGCATAGCTGCGGCTTTAACTCATTGCCTCAGCCACTTCTGTGTGCCAATGTAAGTGGTTTTCCTCCTTCAACCATGCTGTTTTAATTGCATTTTTTGGTAGAAAGCTCTTGGTGGCAGTAGCAGCTGAAGCATCTCTTAAAGCACCAGATATGTTACATCTGAAAGTAATTTTATGCTTTTTTCTTAGAGGTAAGAGATACTCTAAAAATGTTCTTTTGACTGTGAGAGGAATGTGATTTCAGCTGTATCTCAGATTAGAAGATAATGTGTCATTGATGCCTACCAGGACGTAAGAGGTGCCATTAACTCAGCCAGGTTTGAACAAGAGATGAAGGAGTGAAGAGACTTTCTTCACTTGCAGATTAGTCAAGGAAATGCAGAGAGGGATGAGAAATGCTGTAGCATCCTGTAAGCAGAATTTAAATGTGCATAGCTCATGCTTAATGAGAGATGACCAGAGCTATGAACCTACTTTAAAGAGAGCTTTGTAAGTCACAGACCAGCTTTGGCAAGAGACTGCTGAGGGCTGCAAGTATTGAGATTTCATGTTGTTTTTTCAACCTCAAATCTTTTCATGCTACAGAAATTCTTAGACCTTTCTCCTGTAAAATTTAGTATTTGTGTTTAATTCTAAAAGCTGTTTTGGAAAAAATACTGACATACCAGCCATTTCCAGCTTAGATCTTGAGTCAATAATAGGTGATGGCTGGCTGGATTTATGGCCAAACATGCTTGAAACTAAAATAATGAATGATAAAAACTGGAAGAAAATGTGAATTTCTTCTTAAAGGACTGTCACTTTGTCTGGAACCAGTTTTAGAAGAACTCCCTTCCCTTCTGCAGTTAGAATCATTGAAAATGCTTAATATTAACAGTGAGGAAGATATTAGTGACTGGTGATCTTTTATGTGATTTGTAGAGAAAATCAGGAGCTTTCTGTTGTTTCCAGTAGGAAGAGTAGAAACAGAAGTTCTCTATCCATGTTGCTTCATTTGTGAGAATTAATGTCATTGCCTATTGAAGGACAGAATGGAAATGATTACCAGAAAAGGACAAACAAATGCTCTAAAAATATAGTTGAAGTTGTTTATATAAAAAAATATAAAATTTTTATGCCAGCTGATTACAAAGTAAATGTTAGGAAATGTATCTTAAATATTTAACAATAAATTGCAGACAGTGGGAATCTCTTGCATGTTGTTTTAAAAACCCTGTGCTATGTTTCCTTTGAAGGGTCCAGATCACCAGACAATCTTATTTAACCATGGAGCTGTTCAGAACATCGCACATCTGTTGGTATCCACCTCCTACAAAGTAAGACATTTCAACTACTGTGTTTAACATGTGTTTATGAAAGGAATTCAAATGGAGACTATAAAAAACATCTGTGCCTGTGAACCAAAGCTATAAACATGTATGATGCGTATGTGTAGAGTAACAGTTGCTTTTACTTGCTGTATTCTGTCAAAACCAGAGCTATTGTACTGTAAAGTTGAGGCAGCAGTAATGAAAACAGGGCTGCCTAGCCTTGCTCCAAAGAGGAACAGGCACTTGGCAACCCAAGTGGTCTAATTTGTTGAACAATTAATGAGAATAATAAGTTAAGCTGAAGAACAGCAAGTGTGATCTGTCCTAAACAGGAAGTCCTACGTGTAAAAATAGATGGTTGTTGAATGTGTGGAGGCCACCAGCTGCCTGTGTGTTGTGCTCCCTGAATTCCTGAGTCTCTGCTCCCTTCTCTGTTGTGTTTTGGAAGTCCATCCTGTTCCATCACCTGAGAGAACGTCACACTCTACCTGTAACTTGGTGGCCAGGAGCGTCAGCTCCTTCTCAGTCCTTCCACTTGTGAAGACAAGAACACAGTTTAAATAGGTGCAGCTGTAGAAGGGCAAGTCAAAGACTAATACCTGAACTAATCTAGGTTCTGTGATGTGGGAAGGTGATAAGGTTGATCTTCCCTGTGGCAAAAAGAAGTTATAAAGATTTTGGAAACTAGGCAGCCATGAGACATTGATTAAATCAAAACTTTGGACTGAAGAAGGAGGAGCCAAGATGAAGAAATTTGTCCATCCTTTTCATCCAGGTGGTGCCTGAGGCTGTGTAATGGCAGTAAAATGGTGTACATTTGTTCTAAGATTAGTTTGGAATCACTGCAGTTGGATGGTTCTCTTTAGACATTTTATTAAGCCCACCTTCAAAGGATTCTTGAATAGAAATCTCAAGGGTACCTATTTCTGATTCTAAAGTACTCATGAGTCCTGAAAAGTAAAAGTACCATCATTATATAGTATTCTTCTATTCTTCTGTTGTTTCTTATACCTTTGTGAGGCATTACAAATAAGACCAGTATTTCCTGTTCAGTTCCCAAGTTTTAACCTTGCTGGTTTTCTTCAGAGCTTAGAACATACCCTACAGAAGGATAGTTCCAACAGGGAGATGACAGAAGTCAGGGTGTGAGTTAGATGTTTCCATATGCCATGATTCTTCATCTCATTTTCTTGTTGATTATACAGCATTGTTTTCTACAAGCCTATCTAGCAGTATAGCCCAGTTTTGCTTTGAAATCAGTGTTGATATTTCATATTATTATGTTTTTACACAGGTCCGAATGCAGGCATTGAAATGCTTCTCAGTTCTAGCATTTGAGAACCCCCAGGTATCCATGACTCTGGTCAATGGTGAGTGCAATGCTGCTGCTGCTGGTTTGATACTCACTTTTTGCCTGGCTGAATGAGAATGACTTGGAACTGTCTCTCTTTTCAGTTTCTGTTGATGGAGAATTGTTACCACAGATTTTTGTGAAGATGTTACAAAGGGACAAGCCCATTGAAATGCAGCTCACGTCAGCCAAATGGTAATTGTCTTCAGGAACTGGGAAAATAGCAGGGAATTTAATCCTTACTCTTCAACTGCTTCCTTCTTCCTTGTTCCAAAGTAATATGGGATGTAAAATCTTAGGAATAATTAAAGATACTTGTTTGCATTTTCTGAGTCCTTGAACAAGTGGGTCTCACCCCATTCACTCTTTGCTGTACATAAACAGGGAAAATATTGCTGGGCAGCAGTTTTGTGAAGAATGTATGTTCAGCCATATGGGTTTTCACCTGTATCTTGAATTTTATAAGTTTTTATTTGAACAGGCAGAGCACTGTCCTGAATTATCATCCTTGATGGTTGTGCTGTGCTGGAGACTACACCAAGATGATGGGAGAGCAGAGTTAGTCCCTCTACCCAACTGTTTTAAATAAAATAGCTTATTCTTCAGGCTTCATGTGCTCTTACAGCAGAATTAATGTTATTAATTAATTTTGTACTTCAGCTTTCCCTGCTGCTGTGGGCACGTTTGTGTGTTCATATCCATAGTGACTTCCTACCCAGTGACAACATGTGACCCAGTTCTGTAATAATAGCAGCCTGGTTATGTTCACTCCATAAGCTGGGATTGACACTTTTTAGGACCATTTTCCTTTTCTTGTGGTGATAGCAATGAAATAAATCACTCCAGGGAGTTAAAGAGATAAAATCACCCATTGGTATGAACTACTAAAGTTTAACTCAGGAGTTTGGTCACTGATATGTTGCTTGATTATTCTTTCCATTTTTGGTGGCTTTTTTGACAAGGAGCAGTGAGTTCTCTGAGTTCACCAAACAATTTTACAGCCACTTGTGTCAGTACAAGTCTCTTGATTCTGGATGAGGAACAGGTGGGGTAGGTAGGATCTGTGACTCTCTGCTCATGCTGCCAGGTTGTGATGCCCTAACTCATTCATGAAAGCAGTTTCAGTGATGTGCATGTCTATGACTGGGGTTCTTGGGTAATCCCACTCCATGTCGGAGGTATGTCTTGGGACCTCCCAGCCTCCATTCCACCACAATTGGCCCAAGCAGTCTGGTTTTACTGGTTTTGTTGGGCAATTCTTAGTGAAGAAGGCAAGTTAAATTAATTGCACTGTATCAGTCTCAGTTCTGATTGATTTATGTGTTTCTTTGAGAAGTCAGAAAATACATAGAGAATGGCATACTTAAAAGTAATTTTTTTACTATATATCTCGAGATACAAAGCAGCTGACAAGTCATAAAGATAGGCTGGAGTTAGAAGAATTGTTCTGAGATGGACATTCCCAGGTCTACTGGTGTGTTTTGCTGAATGAAGGAACTGGCTACCCATCTTTTGCTCTTGCTTTGCAATACTTTGGCTCATCTGGACCTTTGAAGCATGAAAGAAAGTGATGTGGTGAAAAGCAGCAAAAGAAAATGGCAGGGGAATGGCAGACAAACCAGTATCTTGAATTTCAGATTGGGTTTCTCCCAATTAGTCCACAGGCACTCATCCTTCTTAGGGCTCTCAGTTTTACAGCAGTCCTGGAGTTTGCAAAACCCTGCTGGGTTTTCTTCCAGTAGGTCCATCCCCTACCTAATTGCCTCCGAGTCAGACTCTTCTCTTCCTTTTTCTTAATGAGAGTACTGGGAGAAATTGTCACAGATGATGTTTTCTTCTGCTTGTAAATTAGATTTCACCCCTACCGTGCCAGTTTCAGTCAGTTAATCTGCAGTTCCTCTGATTTGTCATTAGACTCTTTGGAATGCAGATCTAGAAGAGTTTTTTTCTTTTGAACCTACTTTATAATTTCTATTTGAATCTGGACTGGCATACAAGACTACTTTAAGAAGTTCCCTTTCTTTCCCCTCAACAATTGAAGTAGACTTGGAGGATTCAGGGCAATACCTCTTGATTGAAATGGAGCAAAGATCCTTCCCTTGAGCAGCAGTGTTAGGACAGAGGGAAGATTAGGATGCCCCTAACTGGGAGAGTGCTCTGCAGCTGCAAGTGGAGCAGTAACCTTTCCTGCTAAAATCACCAGAACTGCTTCAAGCTAAGCCAAGCCTGTTACCTGAAGTCAAAAATTGCTTTCTTTCATTGCTAAAATAGAGCTACTTTGCCTGGCAAATGGGGTCTCACTAGACTGCAGGATGGGTGCTTTCCTCCTGACTGTGCAGGTGTGAAAATGAGTTTCCTGTTGTAGCTGCAAAGCTTGGGCAGTAAAAGTTCAGCAGCTGATCTCTGTGCTAACATTCAAGTCTTATCTCTAACTTTCTGAGAAATATATTCAGAGAATTCTGACGGTGGGATTTTTAGCTGTGGCTGTATTCAGAACGAGGATCAGTGTTGTTGCCTCTAGGAGGTGAAAGAACTCACTCTGGGCTCTTGGAAGGAGCTCAGGGATGTGGTGAAACACACCATGGTTATATGAGCACATTGCTGTTCCTTAGCTGAGCAGTTCTCATTGACCCTGTGTACAACTTCAGCCTGCCAACTGAAGGTCCAAACATGTTAGTTTTAAGTTACCTTTACTGAAATACAGTTACATTTTTTAACCTCCACTCTGACATTATAAAACCCAGCTCCAATGGTTAGTTCAGAAGCTAAAACGAGAGACACTGATGCACAGCAGTTCCTCTCCAGCTCCATTCCACTGCCTTGTAGCAGAGCAGGTAAAACAAAACCACTTCAAAATAAAACACTTTTTTTTGGTGGGTGAACTGTTTTGCATTCCTGATCATTTGGAGCACTTTACAAGTACATTAACAAAGAGCTTGGAATTTTTCTAATGCTGTGTGCTGGTGAGACTTTGTGGTTGTCATATGCACTGTGAGCTGTTGTCTAATAAGGACCAAATGCTGGCTTGGTGCAGTGTCAGAGCCTTGGCTGGGTTCATTGTTAGTGAGGGTGTGCTGGTCCCTGCAGAGTGTAAAGCCCTGCCTGTGGACAGGCAGCACAGCAATTCCACCTCTCCTGGGCTGGGGCAGGGCCTGATGTCTGTGCCTGAGCTGTCAGGCTGTGTTCCTGTGCTGGTTCTCTCCTGCTGACTGCACAGCCATGGGGCAGGTACTTACAGGAAGGTCTGGGTGTGTTGCACCTTTGCTTAGTGCAGGTGGTTCCTTTGGGTGTGGGGCTCAGGCAGGGTGGTGGTGTGACCCTTTGTGGCCAGTGTGTGCTGTGTGTATTGATCAGTGCTCCTGCCAGGGAGCAAACCTGCCAGAAAGTGCACCTGGAGGGGTTTGTGTGCCCAGGCTTAGTAAGCTCTGAAGTATTTAAATCAAACACAGGGGGATGTTTCATTAGGACAGGAGTTCTGCAGCAGCTGAAGTGCACCAAAGCCATGGTAGGTGATTGTGTGTTGTTGTGTTGTTGCAGCCTTACTTCCATGTGCAGAGCCGGAGCAATACGGACGGACGATCCCTGCATCGTTCTGAAGGTGAGCTGTGTCTTGCTTCAACCACCTTGTAAATGTAGAATAATTCTTTTTGTGCTGACCAGTTCTCTGTTCAAAAGGTTTTCTCCTGTAGGTTTATTCTGGTTTTATTTTCTCATATAAAAGGTAGCACAAAATCTGTTACACCAAAGGCTGCAAAGCACCAAGTTCTCCTGACTTTTTTTTTAATTAAAAAAAATTAGTTTCTTGGTTTCTCTTTTTTTCCAAGTAATGATAGATAAAAAAAATCTACATGATGGCTGATACAAAGGCCTGCCCCTCCTGTCTTTTTGTGCAAGAAAGTGCAATGTACTGTTCAATCCCGTGTGCATATTGGCATCCGCTCTGCACAGGTACCTGGTACTGCACAGCTGAGGAAGCCAAGCTGCATCATTCTCCCTCATCCTCCTCCTTAGCTTTGTTCCAAATTGACACTCTAATTCTCTGCTCTCCTTTCTCCCTACAACACCTGCAAACTGGGGGCAACAGTTCCGTTCTCCCAGCCCCTCTCTTCTGCAAACCTCTTTCTTCTTCTTTGGAAATGTCTTCCCTTCATGAATCCCCCGTGTTGGGCTGTGCCCTGGTCAGGATGTGTGTGTTCCAGAGCTGCTCTGCCCTGGGACAGGGAGCCTGTGGCAGTGGCAGGTCACTGCTGGGAGCTGGACCCTGCCCTGTGGAGCTGCACATGCTGGGCCCTGTGGAAAACCACCATCCTTTCAAACCTTTGCAAAGGGGTGTGCTTGGGCCAGCTCACAGCAAAAGCAGCATTTTTTCCTTGTTGAAGCTGCTTCAGCACAAATCCATGTTTGAGGTTGTGGAATTAAATGTGTTGTAGTACTTGAGAGCAGACAAAAGAGTGAGGGGAGAAGGAAGGCACAGAACCTTTGCTTTGTTCAAGCCATCCCAGTGATTCCTCCTCCAGGAGCTCATACTTTCAAGATAACACAGTGTCCCTGTGCTTAATCCAGCCACAAATCCTTTAACCTCTGCTGAGCTGAAGTGATGGCCCCATTAACATTCAGGAATTATTGATCCTTTGCTATCAAACTTTCTGCATTTGGGAGCTAGTCAAGGATGTGTGTTTTCCAAAATGGTTTTAATTTATTTTCTTTGCTCAGTTTGAGTAGTGGGTTGTCCTGCAACATGGGGAAAAAATAAAATCCCTTGAGAAGGGCAGGGAAGGTTGACAAATAATGGATTTGATGGGAAGGGAAATGATTTCTCTGGAATCCTAATAATGAAACTGTCCAGATAACCCAGATACATCCCAGCCATACAATGGAAATTAGATATTCCATCTTTACAGTCCATTTCCAAACTTTTGTCTGCTGGTCAGGTGAGCATTGTGGCTTTCCATCTTACACCCCTACACAGCCTCCTACTCCTGTGCATTAATTGTACTGTACTGACCTGTGGGTCCAATGGAACAGTTAAAATGTGTCTGTCAGAATTCTTGCTTCTGTTTTTAAGCAGATGGAATTGCTTAGTGTTGAAAAACATGAGATCTGTGTTTCTTGGTGCATGCAGCCAGTGACTTAACAATGCCCAGCCCTTGAATTCCAAGAAATAGCTCATTTCAGGCCATTTGACCTTGGAAAGAATTAGGAAGTACATTGTCTTTGTGATTTAGACATGGAATTCCACTTCTTTTCCTTCTCACTCCACATTAATGTAATTTTTTGTGAGTCTATGTGCAATCTACCCTGCTGCCTCAAGGCCAGGTATGCAGAAGGGAATGCTTTGGCTCACTGGATTAGCTGCAGGATTCACCACCTCAGTGTTAGTCTTTGAAGTGGCATCAAGCTTTCTAAAATATGTAGGCAAGTCCTACTTCCTGTGCAATGGAGATAAGGTATTTATCTATTTAATCATTGGAGCAATCAATGGGTAGATGTTATTTCAGGTCCCCAAAACATAACTCTGAGCAACATTTACTAGTTACTGTGTTGAACTTGGTGGCGTTGCACAAGCACAAATTTTGGTGTTATTCCTTGTCCATTTTCATATTTGGGAAGGCTTGAGGGAGCAGAGTCCCAGCTCTTGGAGAACTGGGCTGTCCAGAGTTAAGTACTTTTCATTGGGCTTCTGGGAAAGAAAGACTTGTTTTTTCTGTTTCAGTAGAGAAGGTGTAACAAAACTGTTGTGTGGGTGTAACCAAGGTATGGGGGGGTGTCAGGGAAGGCAGAATGGACCTGGATTCCAGGTTAGCTTCTTTCCTGGTTGGTCAAATACGTTGCTTGCTGAGGAGTATTCCTCCCTTGCCCTCTGCTCCAGGCAGCCAGTGTGTGGCAAAGGAGCCCTGAGATTATTTCTAACTCCATTGTCCTTAGTTAATCCTGGATCACAGAAGGGCAGGAGGGGTCAAGTACTTCTTGAGGGCAGCTTGGGTACTTTTGGTTCTGGTGTGTAGTAAGAACAAGCCTGTGGAAACATCAACTTCTGAGGAGATTTAAAAAATTTTTTACAAGACTTTGTCAAACTTTGTCTGTGTTTACTTTCAAACATTGCATGATTTTGGCTGTGTAAAAGGTTGTGTGAAAGTAGCTGATTGTACACTCAGCAATGCCTGAAACAATTCTTCTGTGTGTGGAGTCTTTGTACCCACTGAAATGTGTGTGAAAGTTCTTATCTAAAGAACAATGCGGAGCATTGCTGTAGGACAGTTGTTTCATTTCTTTGGAGTTTCTTTATCAACATAGCTGCACTAGAAACTCCTTTTATTTAATCTCTGCAGACTCTGCCATGCTTGGTTCGAATGTGCAGTAAGGACAGACTGCTGGAGGAGCGGGTGGAGGGGGCAGAGACTCTGGCCTACCTGATAGAGACCGACGTGGAGCTGCAGAGGATGGCCAGCATCAGCGACCACCTCATCGTCATGCTGGCCGACTACTTCAAGTACCCCAGCTCCGTCAGTGCCATCACCGACATCAAGAGGGTGCGTTCCTGACCCGCTCTGGGCCTTGGAGGAATGGGCAAAACCAAAAATAAACCAGCTCAGGATGGGGATTTTAATTCTGGTTAAACCTGGTGTGGTAGCAGGCCCCCAGCCGGGTAATAATTAACATTGACTCTATGATCCAGAAGGCATGAAAGACACTTTATTATTAGAAATCTACAGTTCTTATAGAATCAATGGTGCACCTAAGACCTGATTGGTCTCAAAGTGAAAACTTCTCACACACTACTGGTGATTATCAATAACACACTCTAGAGAACCATATCTATAAACAATGGTTACAGAAAGAGAGATAATAATTGTTTGAATTCTTTTCCTCTAAGTTTCCCACAGCTTCCCAAGATTTTACTAAAAAAGTCTGTGCCCACTCTCTGTGGCCAGAGAGCTGCTGCCACAACCTGGTGCCTGAGGTCCTCAATTGAAAGGTGGCCAGAGGTCCAGCTGGACTTGTTTCTTGATGTTTGTACTCTCCAAGTCTCAGTCACTGCTCTTTGGAGACTTCATTAACGACACAAAAATGTGTATATCTGGTCTTCCCATCCTCTGAGTTTAAACATTGCCTTCAGGAACCAGTACATTTCAGCTTCATAAGAGATAATAGTCCATGTGAAGAGAGATTTGTTTTCAATTCTCAGGTCAGCTTTGTGGAAAATCTGAAATTCAGAGGCGATTCTGTTGTGTTTAAGCACAAAAACATGTGGATGTCATGCACTGTTTCATATTATGAGTTATCTGCACTTGCAAGACGTTGGATAAACAGAGACCAGATGTACCTTGGAGTCTTACTGAGACTGATTATTAGAAAGAACCCAAAAAATACATTGCAGAGCTTTGCTTTTTTCCCTGAAACTGGCCTAAGAAACAGGTTCATTTCCCTGACCCTTATAGAATGGAGTTAATTCTGCATAGAGAGCCTCTTGAATGCTCTGTAAAAATGCAAATGAAACATGAAAAAAAAAATCAGTTACATTATAAAAAACTGATGAAAAAGAAGTTTAGCAGCTTATTGAGGAGTAATGGACATTGGCTGTAGCATCAAAAAATATGATCAGGTTCCAAAAGTGAGTGGGGCAATTCTAAATATTATGACAGTGCTCTGAGTGTGCAGTAAGTCTGTAGAAGCAGCCAGCTGGGAATCCAGGGTACTGGCTTTGAACAGAATGCTTGGAATTGCACCCTGTAAGGTAAAACTACGTGAGGAGTGAGTGAGGAATCTGCCAAACAGAGAACTTGTCTGCTTAAAATATTTATAACATAATATTAAAATATTTATAGCATAATATTTTAATACTTCTTGCTCCAATATAGCTGTACTGGAGAGAATTACTCATAGAGCTTAATTTTTGACATTTCTTTTATTTCAGCACTTTGCTACCTTATACTGTCATTTTCCTGGCATTTTGTGTAGACTTTGAAGATTGCATTGTTTTGTAGAACACTTTGGTACAGAGTTTTGAGGATAGTCAGAGTCACAGAATTATCCTCAGAAGAGAACATGAGGAGATCTGAGAGCCCAAATTTGCTGTTCCAAGCAGGGTCAACCTCAAACACCCCTATTTTATGATGCCTTTAGTGCTCCCATTATCATATGCTGGAAGGGTCCCCAAGAATCACCTAGTCCAACCCCTGGCCCTGCACAGACACCCCAACAATCCCACCCTGTGCATCCCTGAGAGCCTTGTCCAAACTCTCCTGGAGCTCTGGCAGCCTTGGGGCTGTGCCCATTCCCTGGGGAGCCTGGGCAATGCCCAGCACCCTGTGGAAGAAGAACCTTTTCCTGATATCCAACCTCACCCTCCTTAATATGGCCTGGGGTTTAGAGGCCAACTTTGGCTCCTGGTTTGCTTCAGTTCTCCTGATAAAACTTGTCTTGATTTTCTCCCAGATTTTTCACTCCTTCTGGCTAGTTCCTGTAAGTCTTTGTTGGGAGAGAAGAATAGCTTTTACCTGAATATGGTCTTGATAGAGTCCTAACCTTGTTTTGGCCTCAAATTGAAGACAAAGTTGTCTTCTCTTTAACTCAGCAGAGAAATGAACCATATTCTTAACTCTGGTTATTGCATTTAGCTGGTAAATGTGGACATGAGCTCAGGGAGCAGCACTTTGAGCTTCTGGCTGCCCCTGGGGTGGCAGGCAAAGAGAATGGGTAAGCACCAGTGTAGAACAAAGCAAATATCACACTGCATTGCTTTGGTGGCTGAGCCTGGTGCCTGTGCTGTGTTTCCCAGCTGGACCACGACCTGAAGCACGCCCACGAGCTGCGCCAGGCTGCCTTCAAGCTCTACGCGTCGCTGGGGGCTAACGACGAGGACATCCGCAAAAAGGTGAGCACAGGGAGCCTGCCGGGCCACTGCTCAGCCAGAGGGGCACTGGAAGGCAGCAGTTCCCACCCTCCCAGTGGTTTTCCCCATTTTGATGTAAATAGGTTGAAATGAGACCTCTCTCCTTCATTAATATAAATTTTCAGATTGCGTGGAATTGGAGCAAAAATTAATGTCTTGCTATCAGAGTATAACAAAAGTAAAGTTTAGTTATGTGAGCATCTTCACAGTGATGAACTAGACCTGCACAAGAAGTTGTCTTTCCACATTTTTGGTACTTGGCTACTCATAAGGAATATTGTTGTGGCATATGAGAAATTTCTGAAACTTGTGTTCTGAGAGAGATAATACAACTCTGTTCTCATTTATTGTATTCTATGACAAATGTTTAAAAAAAAACAACCTGGAAAGTATGTTCATATTGGGAAACAAAGTCAGAATTTGTTTCCTGATTCTCAAGTGACCAAGGACTTGCACTGTCATAACAATGCAGTTGGTGATTCAAACATTACAGCAAAGAGATTGGTTGCTTGGGCCACTCACATAGTTAAAAATTGATGTGTGGAAAGTGGAGGGAACTTAATAAATTAATAATTAGAAGGAGCATTTTTTAAAAATTAATCATGGATTTGCAGTGTCATGCAGCAAGTGCAGAAGAATGTTAGGAATGTTTTCTGAGTTTATTTGCTAGTTAAAGGGGAAAAGCAGAAGGAAGGGGGCAGGAAAACACAGGGTGAAAAGATAACATTAGGAGGATTTATCAGTGGGGAACCACTCCAGATCTCCAGAATTCAACACCATAAACTCCTCTTTTGTTGCTTTAGTTAATAGTGAAGATCCTCCTTTTACACAGCTTTTAATAAGCAGTGGGTGTGTACATGCCAATGTTGATTTATTATGCAAAAATCCATCATCCATCTGGGTATTAACTCCCTTTTATGCTGATCTTGAGTGTTTGTGCTGGCCTTGTCTAAATATGGCAGGTGAGCTACTGGATATTTTTTATCCACAGCTCTACAACCTGTCTCTGATCTATAGTTTGTATATGTTGTGTGCACACATGCTCACTTTTGTTTTAATATGACATTAAGGGTAATTAATGTATATGTATGTGTATATATAGATAGAGAGATGGATACTTCTATATAAAAATCACCCTCTTCTTGCTTGATGATTAAAAGCCATAGTGGAACATAGAATATAGATGTTTTGTTTCCTATTTGTCTGTAGATACACAAAACTTCCCACTTAATCTAGCAAGAGAGTGTGGCGTGCTGGTTTTAGCTGCAGTTTTTATATGTAACATTGAAAATGCTGCAGCCAAAACCCCAGCAAGCTGTGAATGCTGTTGAGCTGTGCACTAACCTGAGTTCTTTGGCCCAGATCATTGAGACTGAGAACATGATGGACCGTATCGTTAACGGCCTGTCCGAGTCCAGCATCAAGGTGCGCTTGGCTGCAGTCAGGTGAGCCTGTCCTCATCCGTGCAGAACCTGGGCTGCACCTGGGAGAACTCCTGCTGATGTCTGAGAGCTGCTCTGAACTCAGTTCTGCTGTTGGGAGAGGGGCAGTTATCCTGGGCAGGTGCAGGGTTTTCTCTTGGCTGTTCCCAGGCTTCTCCTTGCCTGCCTCCCAGCTCAGTAATCCTTGTGGAGCAGCAGGGTGTGTACAGCAGTGTCCGTGGGAGTGTGCATGTCTCACAAGGAAGATTTCTCTTCCATTCCAGATGTTTGCACAGTTTGTCCCGTTCTGTCCAGCAGCTCAGGACAAGTTTTCAGGATCATGCTGTATGGAAGCCTTTAATGAAGGTAAGTGAGGAGCAGTCAGGTCTCAGTGCCTGGAATGCTCTGGTCCATTCAAGAAGCACAGGGTGTCTGTTCAGTTGGCATGCCTTGCTGTAGAATCATGATACAAATTACCTAGAAATCAAAATCCTATGGCATTCTCCTAAGAGAGTCATAAGTCAACAAAAGCCAACAGTAGCAAGCGTGCTTGGTTTTGATTGGCTTTTTGTTTCCTTTTTTTCCATTATTGTTTTTAGGTTTTTTTTGTTTTTTTTTTTGTCATCAGTGAGTGAAGCTCAATTATTCTCAATGCTCACACAGGACACTACAAGCACAACATGTCCCTTAATGTCAGACTCAGATGGCACAGTTCAGACTTGGTCTGTGAGCTCTGTAAGAGAATTTGGATCTGTGTTTTCTCCTGTTATTCTCTGCCTCTTACATCTCATTGCAGATTTTATAGCTGAAACCAAAGAGCACAGAAAGACCTTTGAAAAGACACATTATCATATAATGCAATTTTCACAAGATTAAGTGACATTCAAGTGTGTAAGATATATGTGATATATGTAAGCTCTCATCCTGTAATGTCACTGTCATAAATGCAGATAAATAAACTAGTTTCTCAGTTTCAACATCTTTGAGACCTTGAAAATGCAGAACAGACCAAGTCTGCAAGCACACCTGAAGGCTTGGGCAGTATTGACACCCATAGGAATCTCCTGAAGTCAGCTTGAATTGACTTTTCAGAAGTGAAATGGCTGGAGCACAGCAGGTGTTGTTGGCAGTAGGGAACAAGGGAGGAACGTATTTGGTTCAGGAATTGGTGTTTTGGTGTTGCTGGAGATGCAGGCAGAGATAAAGGGCTATAACTTGTCTCAGGCTGTGCTCCTCTGAGAGGATGCTCCTTAGGAAATTTGCTGTGTTGTGCTTAGTACGAGGTACACAGAGGTTGAAGAGGCTCCTGGAGCTTCCTCTGCATATGTGTCCTTTGCAGAGCAGGGCTTGTCCCCACTGATTTCTACTAAATTGGACTGAAAGCTCTCAAATCTGGCTTTTGTGAAATAATGCATTGCTCCAGCTTGTCCTGTGATGTGTGTCAGTCTGGGTCTGCACTGCTACCATGGAAGCACCTCCTGAAGTCTGCAATATCCAGCTACAGCATAATTCCAGGTATTCCATTTTAGTGATCTCTTCATTATCTTGCTAACAGAATTCCTCTCTCTCCCCTTCCTGCAGGTTTTACAGAATGCTCCAAATGAAATTCTTGTAGTAGCATCTTCCACGCTATGCAATCTTCTTTTGGAATTCTCTCCAAGCAAGGAGGTGAGTACTTAGCCAGCAGCAGGGAGAGGGGATGGACTGAAGTGAGATTACACAATGGTTCAATTAGCATAAAGGCATGATAATTGGCAGCCATTGCTTGTGACATGTTAGGGAGCTGTGATGTTACAGAGCTGTGCCACTGATTGCTTGGGAACAAAAAAAATCATCTGCTTACAGTGCTGTGACAGTTAATTTGTTCTCTAAAGAAAAGAAGTAGACATGAAGTTTTGTCATTTCCTTTTTACTTGTAAAACACTGTTATCTTAAAAGATCATAAACAAGAAGAAACCACACCGATAATTTGCAATGTGATCCATTGTCTTAGAGAATTACTGCTACTGTAATGCTGAAAATGCTGGCTCAGCTGAGTCTTGTGTTTTTATTGTTCTCTGATGAACAGTACAGGATATCTGGTTCTGCAGAGTCTGTATTTCATCCAGATCATACTCACAAATCAACACTCCACAGCCGTGCAACAATTCCCCAAGTCTAAAATACTTCTTAATTACAGAAAATATTTGCAAGATTGTGCTGTATGTGGGATCCTGCAGGGCTCTATGGATTACCAAATTATCAGTTGTTCTTGGTGGTTTCAATCATATCTGTGAGACAGCAAAATAACTGAAATAATGCCAAGCACAGTTCACTGGCCATGAGGCCAGCCATGGGGCTTTTTTTAGATGACTGCAGGTCAAGTGTTTGTGAGGTGTGAGCAGCAGTGTGAGGTGATGTATATACACATATAAATGTGTGTGCATCCATGTCTCCACAAACACAGACATAGGAGAAAGCAGCTGCCTTGACCTGGCTTCTTTCCTCAAACCTACTGTTAAATGGTCATGGATATGGGGTGTGGCATGGCCAGTTCACGTGAGTGCACTGGACATGTTGTAAGCTCAAGAATAAGATATAAGGAGTATATTTTTAGTATTTTCATACATGCAGTTAGTAGTGCTGTAAGTAGTGTTGTAAAGATCTGTTTTTCCCTCCTTCTTTCAGCCTATTTTAGAATCAGGAGCCATAGAACTTCTATGTAGTTTAACCCAGAGTGAAAACCTTGCCTTGCGAGTGAACGGCATTTGGGCTTTAATGGTGAGTAGGACACCCAATGAAATACCACTTGTGACTGTGTGCCTTGATAAGTTTGGGAACATAGCTTGTAGAACTTGTCAGTTGTTAGTAACAATGACATAATTGATATCTGGCCTGTTGTTCCACCAAACTGCGGAAGAAAAACAGCATCAGCCTGGTGGTAGGAACACTTCATCCATTAGTCCATAAAGTAAAATAAATTTTTCAGTTCTGGTACTAATTTTGTTGCCAGGATCATTCAGGTAAGCAGTTAAGTAGTGTCAGTAGCATGCCAGGGGGAAAATGAAAGCAGGTAATAACCAGGTCAGGTGTAAGACAATGTGAAAATTGAATTAACTGTGTAGCAGTTGCTCATAAATTACAGCCTTTTTGCAAGATTAATTTAGGGAGGATATATTCTTGTAGAGAATAGTCTACTAAAAAAGTGAAAGCCCAGGTTTTCAGGTAAAAAAATCCATTAAAAAGTGTGTCTGTTTCAGAATATGGCATTTCAAGCGGAACAGAAGATCAAGTCAGACATCCTGCGAGGTCTGAGCACAGAGCAGTTGTTTCAGTTGCTTTCTGATTCCGATGTAAATGTTCTGATGAAAACCTTGGGACTGCTCAGGAATCTTCTCTCCACTCGCCCAGTAAGTAGAGCTGCAAGCAGACCTTCTGAAAGCTGATCAAACAAGCAGCCAATCCAGTGCTTCTGTGCAAGACATTTTCCTGTTTTAACACCACTTGGATTTATTCAAATATCTGTAAGCACATGGGCAAATCAGTGTGATAAAGTATTTGAATGAATCCTCTGCATCCATGGAAACACTGTAATTATTATCAGAGCTAGACATTTTCATTTAATGTTCAATTCCATTGCATTTAGCTCTTAGCAACATTATTTTCATAGCAGTTTCTCTGTCCAAAACAACACTGAGGGTTGCACATTGAGTCAGTGTATGGGAAGATGCAGATCTTAAAGATACCTATCTTTCTTCTTCCCTGGTACTTGAAATATGTCTGTTCTTATCCATCTACATAGGTAGTACTGGCTTTGTGAATTTGGTGTGGGACTGTGCACTCTCAAAATGCAGACGTTCATTTTACACCCTGAAATAAAATGGTTGGAAAATATAAGCCCTGGAGTTGTTTTTGACAGAGAGAAGGAGATATTCATGGAGGAAGAGAAAGGGGTGATTCCCTGTGAAGAACAGAGGGAAAACATACAGCACAAATTTGGCAAGCCAGCATTTTTGAGGGGAAAAACCCATGAAGCCTCTCTGTGCATTTATCACATACTGTGTTTCTACCAGGAAAAGGTCACTATAAAAAATCTTCTGATATTTTTACTTACTGAGTCTCAATAACCTTGATAGAAAATTAGCTCTGCCTTAATGTGAAAAAATACTTAATAGCCTGTCATTCATTGAATTCACCCTGACAACTCTCACTGTCACTTAAGGTGTTCTCTGCCTGGAACTGTGTGCCAGCTTTGCTGCTTCCTGTCCTGTGGTAGGTTTTAGAGCCAGAACCAGCCATTTTCAACCTCTACCCAAAACTCACTCCAGAAATTCAGCAACTTTCCAGTGAAATGCCATTATTAGCAATTTTAAGAAACCCTACAAGAATCCCTGAGGCTTAAAGGAATTGTAGTGTGCAGTGTGATGATCATCTCTGGTGCCTGTTTGCTGCCAGTCCTGAGGTTTGGTATTACTTAATCCAGTAGATCTTGTTTAATCTTTTCTCTTTTATTCTAGTGTAGGTGTTCATAGTCTGTCATGAAGTGACCTTTGAGCTGTGAACTTAGGGCAATTTCCCCAGACAATGACCAATGCATCTGGCTCATTTCTCTGCCCTCTTTAAGGCTTTGGAAATGTGGCTGTTGGATCTGGGCACAGTGTCCTTTCAAGAGTAGCAAATACCAAAGAAAAAACATCAGCTTTCTCACTCCTCTCTGATATTACCCCCTGGTTATCAGAAGAGAAGTGGTAGTTTCCAACTTCAGCATCACACATTTAGAGCCTGGGTCAGCAGGGCTCAGGCCTCAGCCTGGCAGCTGTGACAGCAGTGTCTCCTCTCCAGGTGACAGGGAAAGCACCACCAAGGCCCATAGGATGGTCTCTCAGGCAAAAGCAGGGCTCCACATGAAGAAAAATGTTCTGAAGTGTTTATGCTGTGATTAATTCTTGGTTTGGGAGTGCTGACTGGGAGCAGAGCTCTGTGTGCAGTGTTGCTACTCCTCACTTGGAGTGATTCAAGCAGGAGTGTCCCTTCCTTGTCTGGGGAGTTGCACTAAATGTATTTCATCCTTGCTTTGGCAGCACATAGACCACATAATGAGCACTCATGGGAAGCAAATCATGCAAGCAGTGACCCTCATTCTGGAAGGGGAGCACAATATAGAAGTCAAAGAGCAGGTACCTTTTCTGTTTTGTGTAGTCTTGTCAGAATAAAATATAAGAGAGCAAAGAATGCTTACTGTTCACAACATGTCATTTTTGTTTGGGATTATGATGTACTGTGAATATTTTAATGAGATCTTTCAGATGAATAACTTGAGTAGCTACAAGTATGTTTTTCTTTCTAATGGATTGTTACAAAATTGTTTGGACTGAATTCAGATTGGTTTTGCAAATGTAGGTTTGGCAAAGAGGAGGGATGTGAGAGCAGAAGAATTACACTGGGGCCATTGCATGGCAGGAAGGAATCAGTAGGAATAGAAGAGAAGCTCTAGCAGGGAAAAGAGCATCCTGGCGGAGCCCAGTAAAAAGTAGGGAGGGACCTGGCCCGACAAATTAAAACTCAAAAAAAAAGCAATCTGCAAGAGGAAAAGTAGAGGGAAAGAGGAGATGGCCAGCAGGGAATGGCATCCTGGAGCCAATGTACAAGGACAGCTGCTGTGGGGGTGCTAAGCAGCAGTTAGAGGATAGCTGGGCAGGATTTGGCTGGATAACTCTTGTGCCTGACAAAGACAGGTAGTGGGAGAACCGTGTTCCTTCCTCATACGGGGTGTGTGGTGGGGAAAGATGGGGGCAGCAAGGAGCTGTGGGAGATGCCAGAGGATTGCTTTGGCTTAGGTTGGACATAGGTAGCCAGCAGCATGGGAAATGAGTGTAGGAGTAGAGCTGGTCTAAATCCCTGCTCAGGGAAGAACAGGCTGAAGGCCAACAGGCCTCCTTTGGCAATTTAAGTGCAAAATGAGCAAAAAAAAAAAAAAAAATGCCCAAAGACTCCTGCTAGCAAGTTTATTGACACCATGGGTCTGAAACAACTGAGAATTAACCCCATGTGTCTTTCTAGATAGGTCTTCCTGCTAAAGCTGAGGTGACAGGAATGGCCTTTATTGTTATAGGTTATTCACCTTGCCACGCCTATCCGAATTATTTCACAGGAGAACCAGCATACCTGGGAAAGAGCTGGGGCTGAATATGGGCTTTGGAGTTTGGGGCCTCTATCTACTGAGCATTTCCTTGGTCCCTGTGGTGCAGCTGGCTCTTATTTCAAGATCCAGTACTACCTGTCTGCACACCAGAGCCCCTGCTTGCAGCAGGACAGTGATTGTCTCTGTCACTGCCGGCCTCATCAGGATGTAATTAGCAGCTTGGAAGTAATTAGTCTCTGCAGCTGCTGACACAGTGCAGTGCAGCTTAGACACAAGCACCATGCAAGTGCTGATCATGCTCCAGTGTCCTCCCACAATGTCCAGAAAAGATGGTCAAGTTCTTTCAGAGCTCTTTGGGAAAGAGCTTGTGGAGCATCTGCTGATGATGCTGAGAGAGCCAGGGAAGGGGCTGTGCCCATCAAAACTCTGTGCAGTAGTGCCAGTGTGGGCCAGGGTGCTTCAAGGGCATCCTGTGGGATGGCTTCTGTAATTTGAAAGAAATAACCAGCTGCAGAAGTAGCTGGAGTTACCTCTGCAGGTAATAACTGTGATTAGACTTGTTGAAAAGAAATTACTCCTCTGCCAGATCAGCAGGAAGGCCTCTGTCTCTCCTGTTCCTGGCCTTAACAATGAGGTAGAAGTGGTTGGGGTTTGTTGTTTTTCCTTTCCCCCCAGCAACTGCTACAGAACAGATTGCTTTATATTCCAGGGAATTTATTCTTTCCTATATGTTGCAGATTTCCATAAGAGACTTAAAATGTTCTTTCTTGCAATGAATTAATGAGTGCTGCTCTTCATTTTAAAATGGTGATGAATGTTTGTGGCCAGGGCTGCTCCCCACAGCTGGTGACTCCTTGGCATTGGCCCTAGATGTGAGCAGGCTGGAAACTCCAGATTAAAGATATTAAAACTAATTAAAGGAGTTGTTTGTCCTGAGTTCAGAGCTGTCAGAGAAGCTGTCATGGGATGTGATCTGGGGCCAAATAACTTCCCAATTTTTCTCTCTTTCAGACATTGTGTATCCTTGCCAATATAGCAGATGGCACGACAGCAAAAGAACTGATTATGACCAATGATGACATCCTGCAGAAAATCAAATACTACATGGTAAGGGGGATTTCTCTTACAGGATTTGTGTTGGTCTTTTGCAGGACTGAAAAGAAGAAAGTGCTTTAGGATTTTGTTTTGAGAGTTATTCACTGCCATGCATTTAATTTCCATATAACCAGTGGGGTGTAAGTGCAGTTCTGTATGGCAGAGGTGTACAAAAGAACTGACTAAAAGGAAAATCCAGGGGTTATTTCCTATAAAAACATTACAGTGATGTCATCTACATAGAAAACATTTAATGAACTTGGAAAAGGCATATCTTGAAGATATAAGTAAACATTTGGAAGAAAGTGATTGACCACTACTCAAGTGCCTCATATTATGGCCCTGTGTTTGAGAGAAGTTGTAGAGAACAATTAATCCCAGCTTTGCTGTCTTATTTATTACATGATGAATGCCAAAGTAGAAGTCTTGTGAATTTCTGAATTGCTTCTTCTAAACTTGAGTTCTATTTTTCTATATTTAGAGTCATTCAAATGCTAAACTACAGCTTGCTGCCATGTTCTGTATATCTAATCTCATATGGAATGAAGAGGAAGGTAAGAAACCCTCCTTATTAATGCACAGACAAGTTACTATCCTGATCAAAAAGCTTTTGTTGAATAGTAATATTTGCAGTGCACAGTGCAGTGGGATCCAAAGTGTAATGGGAAACATCATTATAGGTGTAGTATGGAATGTGGGAGTGGTCAGGAGACACTGAGGAGGATGCAGAGAGCTTCCTGGGGGAGCACAAGGACACAGTGACAATAAACAGGAGCTGGAGAGACACAGGGGGAGGTTTTCACCTGTAGCATTTCTCTGAAGTCTCTAAACTATTGGAGTGAAAGTGAATTCTTGTAAGAGCTTCCAGATCTTAAAGGGGCTGTGGAAACTCATTTTTGGAGGGAACAAGTTCACTGGAGAGAATAAATGCATTAGAAGGGGATTTCTGGCAAAGAAGTTTTCCACAGTATGGTTGGTTTGAGTGGCTTGGGCTGAAACCAGATAAAGGACTTGTGGGTGGAACTGGGAACAATGGATAAGGCATTTGGTGAGAAGTCATGGCCTGGCAGAGTGGGAGGTTACCAGGAGGGGGCTGAAGGATGGTGCTGCTCAGGTGAATATGGTGAGAGGAGGAGAGGGCAAAAGTCAGGCTCAGAAACACCTCCAGGGGAATGTTCTCTGCATCCAGATCCTGTGAGATCAGAGATGAGAATAAAACAGCTGAAGTCAGGATACCTTAGGATAAAGATTTTTGCCTTCAAGATGTTCTTGCCTCCAAACATGTGCACACAGAACACAGCAAAAGAAGCTGGAGCTCCTTGGGGAAGCAGGCAGAGCTTGAGGGAGTGTTTCCATGGCTGTGCTGTAGCTGGACATTGCTCCTTATCCCTGCTTTAGCATTGCTCCTTACCCCTCCTGCTCCCACCCCTCTCTGCTGTCCTGCAGACTCTTGGGCTGCTGCCACTCCCAGCACTGGGATTGTTGTTGTTGTTGCAGGTTCACAGGAGCGCCAGGACAAACTCCGAGACATGGGAGTAGTAGATATTCTACACAAACTGAGTCAGTCCTCAGATCCAAACCTGTGTGACAAGTGAGTATGAAGATAACACGAGATCACCACAGCTGTTAATCTCAATTAAGTTATTTTTAACTAATTAAGCCCAGCAGTAACTTTGCACACACCTGTGCTGTTACCTGTGTTAGTATCCACATAATCCAAAAGTTACTGACAATTTCTGGGGTTTTATGTTAACCTTTTGCAATTATCCCACCTACAGTTAGCAACAGCCCATATTTATTCTACAAAGGAGAAAAGCTGATCTTTGAAAGATGTCACACACAGGCAACACAACTCAAAACTGTGCAGTTATTTTTAAAATGCATTAAATTTGGTATTCTTGGTTTTATGAAAGATGTTCTAGGGTTCTTAGACATCTTTGTAGCAAAGTTAGGGCTTCTCATCTTAAAATCTGTGACAGAGTATTAGCCCTGAAAATGGTCATCAGGAACATTTTGATATCCCATTGCTGCCACACCAGGCCCCCATGAGCTATTATTGCTTGTGATCACAGCAGGAAGCTGGGAAGAAACAAATAAATAATCTTCCATGCTGATGAGTTGTATCAGGTCCTGGAAAAGTCTGTTAAGGTCATGGTAGCAGGCTGGGAGCTGTGGGGGACAAAGGAAGAGCAAAGTGTCTCACTTCAGGTGGGAGGAAACTCAAAATTAGCCCATGTGATGATGGAACTGTAACCCCAGACTGGTGGGAGGTGTTTTTGCTTTGACAAAAATGTTGTGCAATATTGGATTACATAAATTGCATTATTAGACTGGCTCCTTCCTCCCTCTCACCTCACTGTATGTTTTTGGTGGGGCCAGTATTCCTACAGGATTCCTGACAGGACTAATGTGCCTCTAGTATATTCTGAGTTGACACTCCTTGATTTCTCAGCTCAAAGACCTGCTTTTCATGGTACACCTGTATTACAGAAAGCAATTTCTCTTCAGTGCCTACCCTTAAGGGATTTTGGAAGGTGTGTATAACACACATCCCAAGCCCCACTATGCTGGGAGTGCCTCAGTTTGTGCTGGGATCCAGTGTCCTTGGCTGGGTCAGGTTGTCCTTGGATGCCAGGTGGATTCTTTAACAGTACAACCCCCACAGAGCGTTTCTGCACCACAGGCCAGATCCTTCCAAAGTGAGGGAGCCTTTTCCTTGGCCATCCTCCCTCCCTCTCTGCACACTCTGAGCCTGCCCATGAAGCTGCTGCTGCTGAAGAAACCAGACTCCTGTAATTAATGTTGTCCTGTAATTAATTATTGTTCTTTCTTGCAGGGCGAAGACAGCACTCCAGCAGTACCTTGCATGATCAAAGACTAATTGAATCTATGGACACCCCTCATGTCTACTTAAGGAATAGCAGGAGATACTCCTGACTCCTTATATTTGCACAAGTCACCTTGGGCTGCATTTTTCTCAGGTGCAGGGAGCTGCTTTGCAGAAACAGTTCGAATGATCAGGTCTCCAGTGCACTTGAGAATTTTCTTGAGGTAGTTTCTTTACTCAGAGGACTCGGGGTGGGGGGGTTGTTTTGGTTTTTTGGGTTTTTTTTCCTGAGCTACCTGGACTCTCAGATAGAACAATCAGTCATCGTTTTCCTTTTGGGCCTCCAATTCTCTGCTTTTGCTGCAGCCTTGTGTGGGTGCGTGGGTGCTTGAGTGCGTGTGTGTGCTGGGCTGAGTGTGTGGGTGTGAGACCTCACTTTTGGTTTTCCTTTTTTTTTGTGTGAAAATCTTTTTCTACAGGTTTTCAAGGGTTAACCATTGTTTGCTGTACGAATACTTCAATGAATTATATACCGTTTGAATGAAATGTTATTTAAAAAAAAAAACCAAACTGTTGTATCCCATAAAGTTTATTTTGAATTTTGAAGAGATGAATGTTTTTAAGTAAAATATATGCATTTCTGAACTTCAACTTAACTTACATTATACTTCGTTTTTAAAGAGAAAAATAGAGGGAGACAATAGACTCCAAATTCCAAGCAGCACATTCTGTACTGACAAGGTCCAAGAGTTCTCTGCCACAATACAAGGTCACCTGGTATCGATGACATGCTCAAATCCATGGAATGGGCCAGCTGGATTGGGTTTGGGTTTCTTTATATTTTTAGAAAACAAGCTTGTACTTCAGGTTAGCATGACTGATGCTTTTCAGAAAGAAGCAGGTGGCTGCAAGATCAGCAGGACTAAGCTCTTGCTTTGCCAGCCAGGAACTTGCTCAGCTAATTGCTGAAGGATTGGCTTATTCATGGTCAGAAGGATTTGCTGATCACTGATATCAGTGGAGCAAACAGTGTGTTGCAGAAGTTATACCTTCCAGAAGGGCTGGCAAGCAGGATTAAGGGATTGCTTTTGTTTTGCATCCTTCATCTTCACAAATAGTTAAGTGACTTCCAAATTATTTCCACAAATGATCAACTGGGTGCATTAAGTTGGGGAAGGGATGGAAAAACTGCGGGTTCTGTCTTGTTTTATACTCAGTAACATTGCTCCAGATTTTCTGTATATATGCAGCTATACACACATGCATGGATTTAGATTGCTGGATAATTGGTGGGGTGTGATTGCATCCAGAAGCCTGGACTGTCCAGATGTTCCTGAAATGGTGCCTGCAAGGGCAGGGGGAAACACGAGTGCAAGTGAAGGGGATTGTCTGAGGTCAGGCTGGAATGGCAGAGCCCAGTGGCTTCCCAGTCTCCTCAGGCAGTTCAGGGTTCTGACTCTCTGCCCAGGTCTGCTTTCTGGTTTCAGTTTAGACCATAGTCCATAGTCAGACTCTCCAGACACTGTATTTACATAGCACTAACAGGCACTAGAGTTTGCAGACAATGTCTTAAACCAAATCCTTCTTCTCTTACACTGAGCTTCAGGAAGGCTGCAGCAAGAAGAGAAGTCTGTAACTTTGCTAACCAATTTTGATAATTATCTAAATCTTTTATTTCTAATCAGAAGGTCAAATTGTGATGACAGCCTTACTTTTTTTCCAAGGTAACTCTTTGTGTCAGAAAATGTGACCACAGTTTGGCCTGGAATTTGAATGTGCTGTATATCAGATAACTGTTATCACTTGGTTGCAAAGGAGAATATCTGCATTTCATGTAACTTCTTCCACTCTCAAAGACAAATAAAAGTGAGCACCTGACACTTTTCCCCCAGGCATTGCAGTAAGTGACTGACAGTTTTTAATGTCCTTCTGCACATGTTTCATGATGGACTTTGGGGGTTGAACAAAAGGGAAAGTAAAAATATGTGAGAACTTGTTAAATCTCAGTACCTTAAAAGCAAAGACTTGATTATAAAATTCAATCAAATATATTTTTGCTTGAACTGAGAAAAAAGTTCTAAGGCAGGTATTGTAAATGCAAAACTGTCCAGTGGGCATCTCCCTGCTCCATTTGCACTCCTGTCTGTGTTTAAGAGCTCGAGTTCTTCTGTATCTCTTCTCATCCTTCCCCAACTCATGTTTCTAAAAGCAAATGTGAGTTTGATTCTATAGAACTTTGGTGCCTACAGGTGTTGAGAAAAAAGGTGAGTAAAAGTATCTCTGTATAAGTTTTGAGGTGGTTTCCTAAAATTCTGCCAGAAAAACTAAAAACCAATGCTCAGACAATCTTGTTGCATGAGAACAGTTGACATTTTCAACAGGTATAGAGAGGACAAACTGTTGGATGAGAGCATTTTTACATTCAGTTAAACTTTGTGAATAATTTTTGATGTTGCTATAGGTATGTACAAAAAGAAGAATACTGTAAATAAAAAGAACTTTACCAGAACATCTAGATTTTTTCTCAGCTTCCTGAAGAAATATGAGTTTTCTGTGTCAACTTCTCTACAGCCTGAGATTCACAGTGGGACAGACTTTCCTGGTCACCCAGAGCTTTCCCAGCTTAATGAGGTAGCAGCAGCTTGTGAATTCCAGGATTGCGTACAGAACCAAAGCAAAGTTTGTCTGGACATCATATGACTCACCAGGATTTCTGCTGTTCTTGGGCCATTTCTCTGCTGAAAATCCATTCTGATGGATGTTGATAAGTATGTCCTCTCCTCATACATGGGTCTAGTGATGGGAGTCCTCCTTTCAGAGGTTACACATTGCCACAAAGTGAAGTTGAGCAGGGCGTTTGGGACACCAGCTGTCAGACAATGGTACCCTTGGCTCTCCCCACCACTTTCATTCCATGTTTGGACTGTCTTTCTCACACAGAAAATCAAATAAAACATCTTGTGGCTGTTCTTCCAGTCACAGATTTGCATTGTGGCAGTGAAAGAAGCGAAGTAACCTGTGTAAAGCAGCTTGTGCCAGGATATTCTGAAGGCAAGCATCTCATACCTCTTAAAATTTATTTTTACAGACTTTACGCATTGCTGTGGATGCTGTGCCTCCACAAAACTGCTGAAGCAGTGACACAGCAGGCAGACGAATAATTGAGGTGCCTGAGATTAGGTTTTTGCAGAGTAGAAAATGGCTTTAAAAGGGCTTTCTTTGGTAATCCTGAAATATGAGCACAAGAGCTGTCAGTTTGCAAGTGGTGGTCAAAATCGTCAGGGCTTTTCTGCAGGCTGATTGCCACAAAAAGAGACATTCTGGGGGCCTTGATGAACCAAAACCTGAATCCTCAGCCAGGAGGACAGTGAGCAGCTGCAGGACCAGGGCAGCAGGCATCGTGTGCTGTGTGACAAGAAGCAGCTCCAAGGTGTGCCCCTGCAGCCCAGTGTGCCCAGGTGTGGGAAGGGATTGATAAGAGCAGCAGCCCTGCCTAAAGGGCATCGCCAGGGGTACTGGCCACTGGCACTGCTCTCACTGCAGAGAGGAAAAGAAAACCACAAACCTCCACAAACTGAGCTTGTTTGGAGGGGGACACCCTTGCTCAGTGCTGTGAGGGCACGCCTGGATCCCATGCCTTGCTTTGAGCCCCCAGTTTAGGAGAGAGGTGGGAAGACTGGAGTGGAGGGTGAGTGTTGGGCTGGGGGTGCCAGGCAGGTGAGGCAGGTACAGGAGGCAGAAAGGCTCCACTGCAGCTCTGCTCCAGGAGCCCCAGGGGAGATGGAGCTCAACTTGCGCTATAGCCGGCACTGGCCAGGGGGAGGGAGCAGGGCAGGCTGGGCTGGGCTGGGCTGACCTGGCACTGCCGTGGCGATGCCAGCGCTGCCATGGCAGCCTTGGAGTCCTGCCAGCTGCTGCACAAGGCTCTGGAAGGGAGCTGCAGTTAAGGCCACGCAGCAGCACCTCGGCTCTTGGGGGAGGTGTGAGCAAAGGTGAGTCCAGGTTTGGGGCACTGCAGCACTGCTGTGGGTGCTGCGTCCAGGCTGGAGCAGCAGAGCCAGGTAAAAAGCTCTCTCTGTGGTGCAGGTTGGCCAGCACTTGGATCCAGGTGATTAGAAGCCATCTGTAGCACTTGGTGCTTGGCACAGCTGCTCAGAGGACCCTGTTCTGCAGAAGGATGGCTGCAAAGAAAAAGGAGGTGGTGCTGCAGGTCAGTAGTGGCCAGGACTTTAGCAGACCTTGTAAAGGCTCAGTAAGTGCAAAGGATGTTATTCAGTCTCAGGATATCAAATTCTGCTGGCAAAGCCCCTCTGTGAGGTCCTTGTGGGGAAGCGTTCTGGAGGCAGCTGGGACACGTGGGAGGACCTGGCAGGTCACATGTGTCCCCAGTCAGGGCTGTGAGGTGCAGAGGGAGCTGCTGCAGGGCTGCAGGTTGTGTTTGGGGCTGTTGGGGCCTAGCACAGGTTTGGCTGCTGTCAGAGTCCAAATACCTCTGTTTTGTGAGGTAGTAGCTCAGAGGATGTTTAGGAGTTTGTGTGGGGTTGGCACATGTTCTGCATGGCAAGAGTTACTGGACATTTCTGAGCAGGTCACGAATTGAGGAAGATTGCTGTAAAGGTAGAAAAGCTAGAAGGTACAAGAAAGATTCAAAGGCTGAACAATCTATTCCACAGTGATGTGTAGAGGAATTTTTCTTGTTTACACTGCACAGGTGACCTAGTGATGCTTTATAACTACTGTATGGGGAGAAGAGGGGTTCTAAGAGCAGTTCACAACACAAAAACATTGGTAACCAAAAATGGGTTCTGCAGGTCTGCTTCATATTTTGAGAGCAGTTCAGTCTTCACAAGAGAGAAATAATGAAAGATATGTGCTCTATGACCTTGTTTCTTCACTGTTTAAACGGGAAATGTGAACATGTGTAACAAGGAAAGAGGGGCCCTTTTTGAAGGTAGGAATAGCTTCTGTTGCTGCTTGTCCAGCTGTGTTCCTGTGGGATGGGGAACTTGACATCAACTAGACCGTGCCCCTTTGGCAGTGAAGGGAAATCTGGGTCTACATCTGCACATCTGGGATTTTTTACATCTGCAGGTGAAAGCTGAACCTGTGTAGGACATGAGGGGATGTCCTGGAAAGGATCTGGTTTTGTTAAAGCAAAGTCCAAGCAGCCTCAGGACATCCAAATTAGCAAAGCCTTGGAGAGTACCAGCAGTACTTAACTCCAGCATTTGAACTTATGGCCAAATTCATTATCACCAAATACTGTCATAAATCATTTAGACTCATTAGCATTCTGTGAAACACTCTGAGGGTGGTCCCAGCACTAGGAATAAATAATTAAATGTTGTACTTCTGCAGGTGTTCTCTGAGAAAATTAAGCATGGGGTCATGTGCTGAACAGGCAAATAAACAGAGGTGTCTGAACAGCTCCCTGTTCCCTGAGTGAGACAAGGCCCTGGAGAAACTGCCCAGTGTGACCCCCAGTGACACAGCTCTGAACACCTGTGAGAGAGAGGGCATTTCATTTGCACTGGAGTTTCCACCCTTGGAATTCTTGGCTGTGAGATTTTAGCAGCCCTTTAATGCCCATTTGTGTTAATTATTGTGAAATAGCTGGCCTTGATGCAACTTACTGTCTTTCCACTGCAGTCTCAGTGTAGCTGGGGTTGATGATACCCACTGAGGAAGGAATCAGGAATCTTCATTGTTCAGGATGAACAAAACCAGGTCTTGCATTTCTCCAGAAGCCTTTTTTATTTTAATTTGCTGTGTTTTTCTCAGTACATCCTGAAGGGCAAGTCCTGTGAGATGGGGAAAATGTGAAGGATTATATCCTTTCTAATAACAGTATTGGGAGTATGGGATAATAGAGGGGGTGGTGCTGTGTGTGGAATGGTCTAGGGCATCCTTGACAGGGTCAATCCCTGAGCAAGATGATCTAATGCTGAGTTTTGTGCAGGAGATTAGATGAAGGACTCCACAGGCCCCTCTCAGCCTAGAACTTTGTGTTCTCTGCTCACTGTGCTTTAGAAGTCTTTAGGTAACAGCTGGGAATTCAGGTAAGGACATGCTGGGTTCAGACCACCCTCTAATGCCCACACATCATGGAAATTGTGTATTTACTAGTTTAGTTTATCAAGGCTGAAATATGTCAAATAGTAGAGTTTGTGTGCAGGCAAGGTGAGAAACCGCTGCTGGAGAATCAGGTGGTTCATAAAGCCTGTGAGGACTGGGCCTGAATGAGGTGTGGTTCATCTGGAACCCAGGGCAGGCAGATGGAGACCCTGACAAGGGGCTGTGGGTCTGGGATCCCAGTCTGGGGCCCCCAGCCAAGCCCCAGAACAACCCTCTGCAAACTGAGTCTGGCATCCCCAGGCAATCACTGTTCCAGTAGTGCCACTAAACAGGAGAGGACTTGCCCTTGGCTGGATGCTGCTGCTCTTTCCCTCTGCCTTTCCTTGGATCTTGTGAGACATCCTGATCAGCTGGTCAGAGGTGAGAGAACCACAGTCAGAGGAGTTTCCTGAGTGCTCAGGTATTGCCTCTTCAGGCAGGTGTGTCCCTCTGGAGTGATTTGTCAATATGTTTCAGCAACAGGGTAGTACCTGATGAATTACTGTGGCTTTTACTGTATTTTTCAATTTTCCACACAGATTAACATTACTAGCCAGGAGCTTTGGGAAGAAGTGCTGTGTCTCAAAGGACTCATTGGTAAGGTTTGGTCAGCACACTGAATTGCTCTTGTTCTGTGTTGAAAGGATGCCAGGACTGTTAGGAATTACTAGTGTTAAGGATGTTTAGTCAGTCTCCCCATTCCCCTTACCCTGAATGGAAGAAAAAAACATTCTAACCAAGTTGAGACCAGCAAGGAGGTTGCATGATGGGGCAGTCATCTTGCAATCCAAGCAGTGCTGGTCCGTCTCCACTGCTTGGAGCAGGACTGTCCCCAGCACAAGAAACAGCCCTGGCTCCCAAGGTTTTCCTGTTGGGAAAACCTCATATGCTCTACCTCTGTGCAGCAGTTTGCCCTGGGACATCTGCTATCTCCAAGGTCACAGCCATGTCCATGTTTCTACTTAAGACTCCTCCACATCATTCTTAGCTTGCTATTTTGTAATGTAATTCTGTTCTCTGATCAGCATTTCAAACCTTGCAAGGGTTTCCAGTTCAGAGCTGAATCCAGCCCTTCTAGCACTGGTCTATTGGTCTGTGTCTAAACTGACCCATCTGTGCCTCGTTCTGACCCATTTTCCTGCTTGCAGTCATTGATGTGTTTCAAGCCTGGTGTGGCCCATGCAAACCAGTAGTGAATCTGTTCCAAAAAATCAAGAATGAAGTTGGCAGTAATCTCCTGCACTTTGCTGTGGTAAGATCTCACTTGGCACTGCTTGAAATACCCAGTCCTCTGAAATCAGCTGAGGTCTAAGGGCTGAAATCACTTTTCTTTCCAATATTTAGCCCAAATCATGGCAGTGCAGGAGTTGCAGCTGCTGGGAGTGAAGCTGCCACATACAGGGGCTTGGGTATATCTATAAGAATTCACATAATTAAGGATTTTCAGGCTTCAACTGCTCTATGCTTTCCAGATTTCTACTTAAGCAAGTTACATTAGACAGAGCCATTAACACATTGCCTCTGATGTACAGGAGAGGCTGAAGGAGCTGGATTTGGTCACCCTGGAGAGGAAAAGGGACAGATGTCCAGTGTGGGGAGGATGGAGAAGGCAGAGACTGATGTTTGTCAGGGAAACACAGCAGCAGGACATGAGATAATGGGATAAACTGCAGCAGGGAAAGGCCAAGTAAATTGGTATTCAGGTGGGAGTGTAGGACACTGGGACAAGTTCCCAGAGTGCTGTGCAGAGCTGATTATTGGAAAAGCTCAAAACTGACACAGCCTTGAGCAACGTCCTGTATCACTGAGAGCAGCCCTGCCCTGCCCTGGGCAGGTCTGGGACTGGAGCCCTTCACAAGTCCCTCCCTGCCTCAGCCATGTGGTGACTCTGTGTTCTGGTGCCTTTCCTGGCTGGGGGCAGCTCTGGACTGAGGACAGAGCTGAGGGCAGTGACGTTTCTTATGGCTCAGCCCTCCTGTCTCTGCTGCCACTGCAGCTCCTCCTGGCACTTCTCAGCCTCATGGGCAGGAGATCTGAATTCACTTCTCAGGCTTTTTCTCTGGAACTCACCCAGGCAAGCTGCTGGGAATAGAGATCCCTGTCCCACAGGAGTGCTGCTCCAGCTCCTGCAGTGACATCTACCTGCTTCTCAGGCTCTGGATCTGAGCTGTGAGCTGGCTGTGCCTCTGGTTCTGACCAGTGTCATTTTGTCCCCTAGGTCTGGGACCCAGAGGTGTTTTCCTCTGTGTGGGGGATGACTACCAGCCAGCTGAGGGTGTCTGAGTCCAGGCACTTGTGTGTGCATCCCTCTGGAGCAGAAATGCTTTTCTAGAAACACCTATTTCATTTTACATTCCTTTTAGGCTGAAGTTGATTCCATTGATGCTCTGGAAAAATACAGAGGACAATGTGAGCCTGTCTTTCTCTTTTATACAGTGAGTGAAAATATTTTCCCAGTGGTTGCACAGCAATAAATATGACCTGCTGGTGGGAACAATGGTCCTTTGGGGAGGATGTTTTATTTCTTTAATGTGTTATGGGACAATTTTATTTGCTCTGTATCTGCTGGTAATCAAATGCTGTGCAGATAAGAATATACAGCCAGTGTGCTGCCCTGTGGAGCCTTCAGGTTCAGCCTGCTGCTTCTGCAGGATCTCACTCCTCTCACAATCTGCATTGCTTCATCCTGAGATTGATGAGGAGGCACAAAGCAGGTTGTTCCAAGGTTTCCCTCTTGCTGTGAGGCAGAGCAGCTCTGAGGGGAGGAGGGCCTGGTACAGAGAGTGTGGGTGATATGCTGCTGTGGGGAATTCCAGAGCCCAGAGAACACAACCTGAGCACTTGCTGACTGATTTGCTTTCCACACCTTCCAGGGAGGCGAATTAGTGGCTGTTGTAAGAGGAGCAGATGCACCATTGCTGCAGAAGACCATCCTGAAACAGCTGGCAGGGGAAAGGAAGGGTTTCCATGGAGCAGAGCCTGTGCTGGTAATGGGTCACTGAAGCTTCAAACACCTGTAGATGTGCATGCAAGAGGAGAGCATAGGGCCAGCATAGCTCTAAAGCTGAGCCACTTCCTTGCAAAAATCCCCTTCCCTGCCCAGCCAAACTCCTAAGGCACTACCACAGGCACTGGCTTTGTGTGTGTGGTCTAAAGTAATGACATTTCTGAGGAGCAAAACTCTTACTTACGTGTTATCTGCTGCTCCCAAGGCATGTCTAAAGCCTGCAGCTCTCTGCTGATGTTGCTGGCCTGTTCCTGGGAATGCTTTTCCCTCAGCTCTTGCTGTGCACTGGCTGAGAGCTCAGCAGGTGACCCTGGACTGGCAGAGCCTCTGCTGGCCCTGCTGAGCTGAGCTGGCCCGGGACAGCAGGAGGGCTGTTCCTGCTCAGGGGGAGCTGGGACGTGGGGCCCTGCCTGGCACCTGGAGGGGAGCTGTGGGATGTTCCTGTCCCATCCATGTGCTCTTGCTGCTAGGTGCCAGACAGAGCCTTCTCCAGAGAGCAGGGAAACACAGCTCCCCTTCAGGAGGAACAACGGGGAGGACTAACAGGTAAGGCAAGGCACAGCTGTAGGATGTTCTCTGTGCCTTGAGTTGGAACCTTAAAAGCTGGAACCCCCAGCAGGGATCCAGCTGCTGCTGGGACACCAGAGGGGTCATTCTTCCACCTGGGCACACGGGGAGAGTCACCTTGAAACACAAACAAGAGCCCAGCATAGTTTGGATGTCTGGCATTGTGAAACTGGGGGTATTTGTCTTTCCAATGTGTTTTATCTTACATTTGTGCCCCACCCCCCTTTCCTTCTGGCTGGCAAGGGCTCTTGGAGACCGCACATGGCTTTCTGTTTCCAAGTGGTTTTTAAAAGAAAACACAAATGCTTGGGCTCCAAACCTGCCTACACCATCTCCTGCCTGGTCTAAAATTGGCCACGAATTCCCAAGGGTTTTGCATCTTCTCCTAAAAGGGACATTTTTTTCTTGGCTTTTCTGGGACAATGCTGCATCCTAGCCCTGTGCACGCCAAGTCTTAGGCTCCAGAATATTTGGAATCGAAGCAAATCCCTGCTGGCTTTAGCTGAAGCCCCATGGGATGAAGGGGCGTGAGGGATGTTGGTCTCTGCCTCTCCTTTCTGCGCCTATTGTTAATTTTGTTCATTTTCTTCCCTCGGAGGCTGACGCACCCATCGGGTCCGGGATGACAACAGCAGTCGTAGAGCAGATGTGAGCTTTTTCAATAAATACAAGATTTTCCTGCGGCAGCAGCGCCGGTTCCGTGTCCTTGGTGTCCCTCGATGTGCCCCGGTCCCCGCCGGCGGTGCGCGGCCCCTTTAAGGCTGCCGCGGGGGCGGCCCCGCTGCGCTGCGGCTGCGTGGGGAGGAGGCTCGGGGCGCGGGTTCGAGTCCCGGCAGAGCCGGCCCGGCCATGGCCGCGGCCCTAGAGCCGGCGGAGGCCGAGCCGTGCCCGGAGCCGCCCGCGCACCGGCTGAGCGTGGCGGAGCTCGACCGTGAGCTGGACTCTCGCAGCGAGCTGGTGCGTCCCGAACCGCTGCGGAGGCGGCACGGCCGGGCCGCGGGGGCTGTGCCTGCCCGGGCGCTTCCCACAGGGCCGGGGGTCCGCCGAGGGAGGGTCGGAGGGGCCCTGGGACACCGCGAGGGACGGTCGGAGCCCGCACACAGCCCCCCGTGAGGGAGGGAGGGTCGGCGGCTCCCTCCGCGCTCCTGTGAGGGAGGGTCGGCGGGGCCGTCCCAGGCTGATCTGTGCCAGTTCCTGCATGGTGGCACGGGGCACTGTCACTGTCATTTACAGAAATTTCGCGTGCTTCAGCGTATATAGGAAAAAACCCCAACAGCCGCCCAAGTTCTGTATGGCGGGTGCCTTATGTAGCAGGTACAGAGTCGGTCATTTAATTTCACTCTTGCTGCAAAACCCTTTATAGTGTAATAGCGTATTTATTCTCAGAACATCTGAAGCATTCTATGACTGTTTCTGGAAATAAGTCTCACACAGCCTCCAAGAAGGAAATATTATCCCCGCTCAGCCAGGTGAAACTGTGTGTGAGCCTGCCCTCGGAGCTCTCGCCTGCCTTTCTGGTAGAGGCGTGTGTGCATAGCTGCTTTTTATGTGGCTTTAATTAAGGTCTGGAAGGCGGAGTAGGCAACCTAAATTCAGGCTGTGGTTTCTGATGTACAGATTGACGACAAAGAATTTGACATTCCTCAAGTTGATACCCCTCCAACGCTGGAGAGCATCCTAAATGAGGTGAGTGAACCATCTGACAGGGGAGTCAGGTGGGGCAGCACATGCTTGTTTTCCTGTACTCTTACTGCCTTTTTCCTGGAAAATAAAACTGTAGAGCTCCGTGGTTCTCTGATGATAGCTAGCAGGTGCATACTTAGTGGAGCAATTGCTCTATGGTGTGTGATATGGAATTTTGGTAGAGTTTTTAAAAAAATTTAAATATCCACAGCTGCAGCATAAGAGGTTTTCATCAAGTCCAAGCCCATTTCATCTGTAGATCTGAAGAGTCACCTGAAGTCTAGATAGCATATTAAAGGTCAGGGTCACCAAACAGCTCTTTTTAATTAAAAGTAATTGCAGAGTATTCAGAGTAGTTCTGAAGTTGTGGGAGAAGATAAGAGCTAGATTCTTCACAGCTTCATTTGTGTTGTTCCTTTCACATATAAGGTGTCCCAAACAGAGACAGGCTAGAAACAAGAGGAGTAGTAGAGGTAGTTATGTCTTGTTTCTGCTGGTGCCTTAAGTAGTGGAAGTTTAGTAAATTTGGGTCATCTCAAACTGTAAGGATAGGCAGTGACATCCATGTCAGAGGAGTAGCTTCCAAGTCTTAAACTTGAGAGGTAATAATGAAGAAAATACAGTTCAGTGCAGACAAAGTCTTATTGTAAGTATCTCACTAAATATAGCATGGGAATGACTGGCAAAACATTTTCTGAAAAGGATTTTAGCAGAGAAGAATCCGTCAGAGCCAAAAAGACAAACAGCTGCAGTTCAGAAAGAGCTGCTTAATGAGCATAGGGCTGCCAGGTGTACGTGAAATGAGGGGCAGCTGCTCTGCTCCCTGCTTGTTTGGCATCAGCTGGGGAGTTGTGTTTGCTCCCTCTGGCTTTGTGCTGAGAGACCAACAGGGGCTGCACTGGTTTTACAACACATCAGGGAGAATGGCCTTTTGAAAAACTATAATAAAAAATTCCAGGCTAAGACTGAAAGGAGAGAGAGATTGCAAACAGAAGAGCTGAGAGACCAGCAAAATCAACTCTCGTGGCAGCTGGAGGGACTTCTGGGCTCTTAGTACCACTTGGTGAAGTGCTGGAGTAGATGATGATAATTCTAGGCCTTCTCTTGGCAATTTGGAGACTTGGAAACAGCTCTGTTAAAGGTCAGTTAAAGTTTTAATGGAGTATGTAATATTTGGGGAAGAAAGGTTAGCTGACTTGATCTCCAGCCCACTTCTGTGATTTTTGTGAATTCTGGAAACCTTCCACAGGATTAGCCCAGTAAAGTAATAAATAGTTCTGGCTTTTAAATCTGAGGCTTTCTTGTGCACTCCTCTCCATCTCCCTGCTGAGCTGATGCTGCTTTGCTAGTGTTTCAGTTATGCTGCTGTGCGTTTTGAACATTTAGCAAGCTGTGGTGATTCTCGCCCTCCAGACTGATGATGAAGAAGAGTCTTTCATTTTGGAGGATCCCTTTCTCTTGAACATTGATAACACAGATACACACTCCTATGACACCTCTTCTGTGGCCAGCTCTGACAGTGGGGACAGGACACACCTGAAAAGGTACTGCAGCCTCATGTCCTGGGAGGGCAAACCATTTGTGAAGGGGTTCTGCTTACATCTGTTAGAAACAAGTTCTCCGTTTTTCACAAAACACTGCTATTCCTCCAGGATCACGTAGGCAAAGATGAGATTTGTAGTTGCACTGGGGGCTGGCCTGTTTGAGCAATAACAGCGTTTTATGGGAGGTGGATTAATGAAATTTCTCCAAATTTTAATGGAATCTTTGAAGCACTGAATCATGGTGACTCTAAAGAAAATGTTTCAAAGGGTTATCTGACCTAGTCTGCAAGCAGCTGGTGGTTATTTGTAAAAGGCAACTGCTGTCTCTTCTGTGAGTGGACTGCTAATATTGACATCTAATACGTGATAATTAACTCTAATACTGCTGACTTGTCATTAATTACTCAAATGATGGCCTGAGCCAGTCCTGTGGCTGCCTTGTGTACCACGAGCAGTCGCACAAGATATAAACACTCTGAAGTCTGATGGTTTATGTTGGCATAGGGTGGTGTACAGATTCTCTGTCCCTTCTTTTTTCAAACGAGTTTGTTTGCACTGAGAGAGCTGTTACCTGAAGTTGTTTAAACTTCTTCCAGTGCAGAGTATGCAGAAAAACCTGGAGGTGTTCTGTCACCTTTGGGTAAGGCTGGTTGCCATGGTTATGGGTTCTTAGCCATAATACCAGCTACTGAAAACCTGTTTGATGAACCTCTGTGGGAGCTGCTTGCTTGTGCACCTCTGGAGAGTGAAGAACCCAATGTTTCCCTGGTAGTTTTGGGAATTTGGCTCTCTGGTGGTGTGAGATTGGCAACAGAATTGCAGCTGGGGAATTTCCCTGTCCTGCCTGCTAGAGTTTACCAGTGCTGTTTTGAAATAACTGTTTCTGCACTATTTATTTTTAAAGACATTTTCTCCATAAACAGAAGCACTTAGCCTTTCTATATCCGGTGAGCTGTGTATTAATTGAAGGCTGTTCTTTACCATACACCCAGTTTTCCTATGGGTCTGTATTCTGCTAATGAGCCTTTTCCAATTGTGCATTTTTCAATAGATACTCACCTTTATGGGCTTAAACTTCCTCATTGAAAGAGCTGAAGTGTTGCTTTCAGGATGTATTAGTGAATTCTAAGGCTTGCAGATGTGTGCTTGAAACTGCCCATTTGTTTGGGGAAGTAAGGTTTTTTTACTCCAGGAGATGAGTTAAAACCAAACTGTGTGCAGGCACAGCAGGGCAGAGCAGGCTTTGCTGATTATCTCATGTCTTACCTCATTCTTTGGCCCCAAGGAGAAGAATGGAAATTGCATGAGTTACAGGTGTCTGCAGAATTTACCTGCTGGCTTGGCTGTGGGTTAGGCAAAGTTCCAAGCTTTTATTTTGCTCTAATGCTTTTTGGTTTGTTTCTTAATTCCTTAGGAAGAAAAAACTCCCAGATTCTCTCTCACTCCATGGATCAGTGATACGGCTCTCACTCCTGAAAGGAATTTCTGCCCAAATAGTGTCTGCAGCAGTAAGTGTCATCTTCTGGGCACTTCCACTGAGAAAAATTTGAAACTCTTTTGGTATGTGTGGGGGTGTGTGTGGGATATCCTGTCTGGCCCTACTATTAGTTCTGTGTAACACCATGTTAGGGGTGTCAACTACTCAGCTGTAGTCTCTAGGCAGCAGTGAATCAGGTCTTAGCTGACTTGTTGCAGCAGTGATGTGGTGGGTCATTTTTAGCACTGATTTATGTTGCTAGATGTCATGAAACTTGGTGGGAAATGTTCACATAACATGAGAGTGTGCTTGAAGGTGCTGGAACTGCGTTTGCTAAATGCCTGCAGCAGGCACATGGCTCTTTGAGAAGAGTAAAGTAACTTTGACATGGAATTACAGGATATTCTGCTTCCTCTCTGTTTCTGGGTTGTTTCTGGCCAGTGGTTCCCTCAGCTCTGTGTGCCCTGTTGGGGCTACTAAAATGCAGCTGGTGTTGATTATTTTGTGTGTTGTAGTTGTTCTAATTATTAGACATGCATGATCTGGGAGTTGTGTCTCTCACTCATGGGCTCTCCTGTTTCCCCAGGACAAAGTGGATGCTGGCTTGCCCACTGCAATTGTAAGTACTCTCACAATTTCCAAGGATTGTATATTTAGTTTTCATGCCAGTTTGTTAAACCAGTATTTAAGACATAAATAAATAAATAAATGCATATTCCTTGACTTTTCAAGTATGAGGAGTGGGAGCAGCAGCCTGAAAGCTCCCTGGGGGCAGAGTCCAGCCTTCCTTCACTGCCCAGCTGCCCCTCTGCTGAGCGAGTCCCACACCCTCCCTATTTTATACCATCACCTGGGTTTCTTAGCTCAGCACCTGACCTGTCTCCATCTGTTGACCACACTGAATTTCCCTAATTGGTTTTTTCTTTGCCAGTTATTGCTTTGACGCCTA